TTTTTTGAAATATTTGGTTATTGGCACATCCCTAAAGTAAATAGAGAATGATCCACTCAGCCAACATCGTATTAAAGACATCAACACGTACGATATTATTTTGCTCCTGCAGTTTCTGATCTCACCTCCTCCTGCTCTCTCCTCTTCCAGCGCAGCTGAGCGTTAGTCGACGCCATCGCCTCGATCACAAAGGTGGTGGTCATGTAGCTGGTGAGAGGAGAAAGGGTTAACAAGATGCTCAAAATATCTACCTTTTAAAACATCATCGCTTAATTTAAGATGATACATCTGTAAGTTTGATTTGAACACAATCGATATTTCACTGTTTGTGAGACACCTCAAATTTCTAAATACATACTAGATTGACTTTTCATTTAGCCTTTTAACTAACATTATGTTTTTTATTTTGCCATTTAAAAATGTTTGTAAAATCATTAAGTAAAGCACCTTACTTACTGTTCATGAAATAGTTGAATATATTTAACCTTTTTTTTTTAATTCATATTTTATGTGTTACTTCCGACCAAATCATGCAGTAAGTATAACTCTTAAAAAATGTAATCCAAACTTTTCACTTGGAAACACGAACATGATTGGACTTAAATAGGAATTCAGATGAAGAAAGTATGTAAACTGTTTAAATTTGAAATAAGAATTTAAAGTGAAATGAACACATTGTACAACACAGATAACAGCAAGCAATATGTAAGAAAGTGTATATTACAATATATATAGTGGTGTTGTAGTACTAACAAAAATATGAATACTTCTGCATGTTTAAAACAAACATGTGTGTTGTTTACATACTAACTCTGCACATAAACGAAGAAAAAAAATCAGACATTAGTGAAAGATATGGCCATTAAACCCAACCCCCCCCCCCAAAACAAATAACCAGCACTTGAAGAGAACAATATCTGCATATTTGCGTATATATTTGCATTTTTCTTGTTGTTCTGAGTCTGTAAGTTGCTTTGGATAAAAGCATCAGCTTAATGGAATCAGATGTAATGTAAAACATTTCAGCCTTCAGCTCCATGTTTAAAATGTCTCTGTTGTTGCCCAAAGGATGGGCTAGAGGTGGTGCATGTGGGAAATGAAAAGCAGGTTGATGTGCAGAACAGAACTCACCTCATAAATCCTAAAAAGGAGATGAGAGATATGCTAACCACCCAACCGGCTGAGGCGAAGGCTTTGGGCATCGTCAGAGCTCCGGTCCCTACAATCAGATTGAACATATAGACCAGCCCCACCTGGAGAACACAGATAAGAGGTGTAAAGACCAGTGGAATATGTTCGCAGACCTTTCATTTCCTATTGGATATTTGAAGAGGCCCTATTGTACTTTTTAGGGTTTCCCTTTCCTGTAGTGTGTTCTATATGTTTTTGTGCATGTAAATGGTCTGCAAAGGCTAAAATCCCAAAGTTTGTGAGAGACTCTTTCTCCCACACTTCACAGTATGAGAAAAATAAAGACCTTTTTGAAGATTAACGCATGTAAACGTGTCACAGTAGAGGCAAAAAATACAAATATAAACCTGAACATGAGTATAACCGGGCCCCTTTAATGGCCTTTTGCCTAAATACAAAATGTAAAGCTCTGTTGTATGAGGAGTTGTTGAGTGCCTTGTTAGATAATGAATCAATTATTGCCAAGGAATGCAGGTGGGCAAGATACGTTTAAGGAAGCAGCACTTCCTCCTATCTGGTAGTTCTTGGCCAGGTCAGCATTGAAAATGAGATTTTATCTCAATGCTTTTTTATCTGGTTAAATAAAGGTTATATAAAATTAATAAAATAAAATAAAAGCAGAGTCTTTTAATGATTTAAAGCTTAAGCTCCCTGGAAAAAAATATTTGACCGGCAGAACTTAATGTTTGTGGTAAGTTATGCTGACGTAAGCAGTAAGGGACTTCGTAAAAACGGAGACCAGACCATAAAGAAGCCTGCTGTGTATAACAAGAAGGATGTGTAAGCAATTTAGCTTCCTCTTTATTCTTTACTGCACTTTCATCCCCACTCACAATGACATTACTAATTCAATGACACGAAGAAGGGTTCTTCAGAAAAATGCCCTTCTCCGTCTTAAGTGTTTGAAACATATTGATCAGTCAATAAAACACAGATTAAAAGTTGAAGCCTCAGCAAGTAAACCGAGAAGAACAATATAACTTCTTACATCTTATTTCAAAGTAAGATAAGACTTTTAAAGAGCCTCAGTAAGGTGGACTTTGCATTCTATCATGCATCCACTGCAGTGTGTACATAGCTCTAACTCAACATAAACAAATGGTGAAACAATCTCTGAACTTAAATAAAAACAGAAGTAAAACAGGAATTAAACTCATTATAAAAGTATAATACTCACAAATGGGGAGTAGGGTTCCCCACTCTCTGTAATTCCACCTGGCATGGTTGATGACCCTGGTGTTCACCTGAAGGAAAAACAACATCCAGGAAGCTGAAACCAAATACTTCTTCCTCTCTTTCAATATCAACATTTATATTTACTTGACGGCATTACCATAGTTAAGGAAAGTACAAGGTCTATTGAGAATAAAATAATGAGGAGAAAAGTTGTTGTTCAGTATCTCGCATGCAAAACGAACTCCACTCGCATATCTTGCAATTTAGTGTTAATATTAACATTTGCTAAACAAAGGCGCATTTACTAAACATGATTCAACACATTTCTTAAACATTAAGTAATACTTTTCCATTCGGCATACATATGATTCACAAAGCAGATCCTGTTTTTATTAAAAAATGTGTTTCTTTTACCAAATGTCTACAGAGAAACTTCTAATGTGAAGTTTTGTGACAGGTATTGTAAATGCAAAATGCGAAAATTGATGCGCACATTTATTTAGGACAGTGTATAATGTATCTATGTTCCGAGATAAAGACCACTTGCAAAAGATAAAGTTGTACAAATATGTTTTAAGTTACTGTTGAGCTGCTTTTTTCCCTGCTAGCATCCCAGCTAGCAGCACAGGTTAAAATAACGTTAGTTATCACAGAAAATACACATGTATAAAATATGTGTACGTGTTGTAAAATGCAAATATCAAAAGAAAAAGACTAGCAGAGAATGTGTCATTAATAAAAACAAAAGTAAACACTTCTCACCTTCCTTCTGCACAGAATATATTGCTAATCTTTCTAGGCTAGCAGGATGCTCCAAGCTGTTGTGGATCTCTAGCTGAATGAATGCAGAGCTTAGCCACTGAGCTAACATGAGCTGTGGCGTTGTTAAAAGGTAAAAAGGATGTCAGTATGAACCATAGTTTGGAGAAAGACTCTACCCAAATACGCTAGCAAGGCTCTTCAACTCAGCTAACTGAAGCAGTAAACTGAACCAGCTGACCTGCTCCCGCATTAACAGACGTAAAGCTACCACCAACACAAACTGACACTTCCGGTAGGCTAATGGCTTTCAAAATAAAAACTTCTCGTGATCATTTCATTTAGTTGGTGTTCAGCTTCTCGAAGAGCTTTTAATTGTTTGTTGTGTGAATTTTGAAAAATACATTATCACCTGTACAATGTGCTTTTGAAATACTGCATTGGATTTTGGACACGTCAATAAAGACCCGTTAAAACATTTTGATAATGGTCAAACAATATTTAATAATGTTAATATTTACTGACGTTTTAGACGTTGTTTATCAAAATGGTTGTTGTTATTATTTGAATTATTATTATTAATATTATTATTATTACCATTATTAAACATATCAGTAAGACTGGATGGTAGGCCTTTCATTTATCTGGCTAATAAAGACCTGGCTGATACATTATTGGATTTCAAAATAATTAACTGGTTATAACAGTGAAATTCATTGTGTGATCGAGACACACACACACACACACACACACACACACACACACACACACACACACACACACACAGATTTCACAAGAACATGCAGAACCAAGTGTTCATTGTGTTCTTTTATTTAATATACTTATATATAGCCTATATATATATATAGGCTATATATAAGTATACTACTAAGTATTAATAAATAGCCTATATATATATATATATATATATATATACATAGGCTATATATAAGTATACTAAGTATTAATAAATAGCCTATATATACATAGGCTATATATAAGTATGCTAAGTATTAATAAAGAAAAAATAAATAAATAAAAGAACACAATGAACACTTGGTTCTGCATGTTTTTGTGAAATCTGTGATTACGTGTGTGCGTGTGTGTGTGTGTGTGTGTGTGGTGTGTGTGTGTGTGTGTGTGTGTGTGTGTGTGTGTGTGTGTGTGTGTGTGTGTGTGTGTGTGTGTGTGTGTGTGTGTGTGTGTGTGTGTGTGTGTGTGTGTGTCTCTCTCTCTCGATCACACAATGAATTTCACTGTTAGACAATCTAACAGTCAATCTAACAATCAGTTAATTATTTTCAAATCCAATAATGTATCAGCCAGGTCTTTATTAGCCAGATAAATTAAAGGCCTACCATCCAGTCTTACTGATATGTTTAATAATGGTAATAATAATAATATTAATAATAATTAAAATAATAACAATCATTTTGATAAACAACGATATATAAGTATATATACTATAAACTATTTATACTTCAAGATACTTTTTTTCTTTTGATTTTCATCACTATATGGTGCTTGGAGCAATCATTCCAATAAAATAGGTTGAAATGAATTGATAACAAAGCTTTTATTGTGAAGGTGAAATTGTGAAAAAGGGACATGTCACATGACACATGTATGCTTCCTTTGATATGTTGTGAAAGTTGTTTTTTGTTTGTTTTGGCAGTCTCAGAACTGCTTTAAATACAGTTTAGTTCTAGTAGGCCCTGCTACATTTTGTTAAACTAAATAAAAACGTAATTTAACTTGTGTCTTTTCTTTTTATGCCACTTGCTACTTTGACTACATGTCATAGGGGAAACTTTTTTTTTAAAGAGTTTATACAATCTTATTTTTTTTAAATCAGTACAAATAAGACAAACAAGCTTTGTTAATAGTTTTAAGACATATGTTGTATGTTAAATCGATTGCTTTCTCTCTTTCTTTTTTCTTGTCTCACATGCAGTATAGATACAGAGAAGAAACATTTTCAACACAAATGTTGATCCACAAAAATATAATTATATATGTAATATCATAATATAATTCATAATCAGTGTGGGGAAGCTACTAGTTTACTCTACTTAATATAACTTAATATACTTCGAAAAATTAGGTACTAGGATATTACGTACTGTGATAGAAAAGTGTAACTAAATACACAATAAAAGTTCACATGTCAGCAAAAATGTGGCATTCATTGACAAAAGTACCACTAGTTCACAGGTCATGCATGATCAATAATTCAACCAATAACGATTTAAAGATCATTAGGATCTCTTTATATTCTGTTTAGTTGTTTAAAAAAGAACATTACAGTCAGATTTAAGAGGACACGCTGGCAGATCATACACACATCCAATTATTACTATTTGTTGTATATATGTGAAACCCACAATGTATTCATGAATGAGACAAAAACACCAGTGGCTAAAAAATAGAAGAAAAAGAAGACACGGTCTATGATTACAGCCGCTCTTCTGTAGCGTCCGGTCTTTCTCTGGTCTTTGTGTTCATCAACTTCCTGTCGAGCTGCTTTCACTTCCTGCAGGATCAGTTTCAGCAGGTCGCCGTCAACAGGCCCATCCAGAGGAAGGGAACTTTTGTCAGGGATCCCTTCAGCTCCAGCAGGCTCTGTGTCGAAATGAAAATTCAACAGAATGAGTTATGATATAGCGGGAAAAAATAAATGATTTATTTGGGGTTGTGCAACACGTCAGAAATTTAGGAGCCTCATAAGAAACCATGTTGGGTTCTAGATGAATACGTGAAAGAGGTGTTGATAGAAATTCTCTATAAATACCTTTGACTTTAATATATCAATAAAAAAGGATTTTGAACCTGGCTTTATCCACTTAAATTCTAAATAGAAATGAATAGGGCAGTGCATCAAGCCTCAATACCTTCAAGGTTCAGACTGAAATATGCATGTTACTTAAAAAGTGCAATAATTGTATCCAATGAAAAATGGTTTAGTAGAAAATTGCTTAACCTAAAGATATAAATTCAAACATTTACCAAATGTTGAAATTGTTTCCCAATTGTATTAAGTATAGTCAAGGTGATCGTCTTAATAAACACACATTTGCCTGAGGGGGCTTTACCTCTGTACAGCAACCCCTAATCTTGCCCTATTTTTTTTTTTTTAAATAAAATGTGCAAGAGTAACAAACGGAAAAGTTCATTAAATTATTATTAATAACAAAATGATTCTTATTCTGGTGAAAAGAGTGAGTGTATTTCCTAAATTAAGCTAAAATAAAGTTTTCTTTTAGTTGATTTGAGTAATTATCTGAATGTATTGCATTCAGTGGGTTTTTTTTATTGTTCATCTTCAACTATTAGTTGGCAGAGACCTTACCTTTCTGATTGTCAACTTCCAACTGAATATCCTCTTGTGCGTCAGCAGGGCTTTGAGCCGTCTTATAGCAGCAACCATCCAGGTCGTATAGGTAGCCCACCAGCATGGCCTCCAGGACGCTTAACCCCACAACGGTGAAGATGAAAAGGCAGTATTTGGCTATAAAAAAGGGGCAGAAACATTTCTGGTCAGTCTAATGTTGTTCATGCCAGGAATAAGCAGGGGCAGAGCACAGGGGGTGGATACTCAAGTACTGTACTTAAGTAAAACTTTGAGATACTTGTACTTTACCTGAGTGTTTCCATTGTATGCTACTTTGTACTTCTACTCCACTACATTTATTTAATACCTTTAGTTACTTCACAGATTTTGATTAATAGTGTGAAATATAAACAACACTTAAAAAGGACTTTAGTTCCACCTGGAGTAAATTCACAAGCTACCCTGCAGTATACAAAGTCATTCAAACTAGCTGCACCTTTACCAGCTTTGAGAACACTTTAATGATCAATCATTATAAAACATATCATATATATTATTCTGAAATGGACCAATCTGCTCAATGACTACTTTTACTTTTGGTTCTTTAAGTATATTTTAATGCTAATACTTTTGTACTTTTACTTGTACATGTTTGGAGTCATAATGGACTCGAACTTGACTTTTAAGAAACATATTAAGAAAGTATCCAATACCATTAAATTCAACAAATTAGACCTTTCTTAACTGTCAATGCTGCAAAGTCATACTGTCACGATCTTATGAAGGACCCAAATGCAGCACTCGAGAAACCAAGGAGTATTGGTAATGTACTTTATTGGTAATACTACCAGAGCAGAGGAATACCAGCAGAACAGTATCAGCCGGATGATGTGCAGGCCGACGAACCAGAGGACAGCGGGCAGAAGGTGAGTCAGGGCCGGGCAGAGGGTCAGGGAGCAGGCGAGGCGGTCAACGTAGGTACAGGCAGGGTCAGACAGCAGGCAAGGCAGGATAGTCCAGGGACAGGCAGGATCAGGGAACAGGCAGAGCAGGCAGGTCAGGGACAGGCAGGGTCGGAACCGGGTGGGCAATCTGGTGACAAACGCGTGAAAGACTAGCATGAAGACAAAGTACGATCTGGCAATGGGTGTGTGTCTGGTGAGGGTTTAAATACTGGCAGTAAAGCTAATGGGTGCAGAAGAGAAAGAGAGTGAGCAAAAACGTGGGTGTGGTTAACAGGTGAGACAGGTGAATGGAAAACTACTGGTGAATGATGGAGCAGAACTGTGACAGAACCCCCCCCTTAATGGACGGCTCCTGACGTCCCTAAACACTAATCTACAGAGGAGGGTGGGAGGTGGGGTTAGTACTCATCTGAAAAAGTTCTTTCGGCCTCCTTCTCCTGCCCCCTGTGGGAATCGGCGTCCTCATCAGAAGCAGGCCCCTCACTGTCCTCCTCGGAAGAGCTGACAGTATGTGGAGAGACTCTCCTAGTGTCTCTGCCCGTCGATGTGATGGCCTTAGAAGGTTGCTCGGGATTGCGCTGATGGAACTCTCTGATGAGCCGGGGGTCCAACACATGACGAGCTGGAACCCAAGACCTCTCCTCAGGGCCGTAACCCTCCCAGTCTACCAGGTACTGGACTCCTCTCCCTCTGCGACGGGAACGAAGCAGTCGATGGAAAGTGTACGTAGGTCCGCCGTCAATCATCCGGGGGGGTGGTGGAGGAGGGACCGCAGGAACCAGTGCACTCTCTCGGACAGGTTTGATCCTGGAAACATGAAAGGTGGGATGGACCCGCAGAGTCCGAGGCAGTCTTAGCCTTACTGCTGCGGGATTGATTATCCTTATAATCTCAAATGGTCCAATGAACCTCGGTGCAAGCTTTTTCGACTCCACCCGTAAAGGAATATCCTGGGTGGACAGCCATACCTTTTGGCCCACCTGGTAGACGGGTGCCTTGGAACGTCGGCGGTTGGCAGAGGAGGCGTACCGGTTGGCCGAACGAACAAGAGTTATCCGGGCTTGATTCCAGGTCTGGCGACAGCGACGAATGAAAGCCTGAACGGACGGACAGGTAACCTCCCTCTCCAGGGCCGGAAACAGAGGGGGTTGGAACCCGTATGCACACTGAAATGGGGACAGCTTGGTGGCCGAACTGATCAAAGTGTTGTGGGCGTACTCGACCCAGAGCAGTTGTTTAGCCCAGGCCGCTGGGTGCTTGGAGACTATACAACGTAAAGCCGTCTCCATCTCCTGGTTCTTCCTTTCGGTCTGACCGTTGGACTGAGGATGGAAACCGGAAGACAGACTGACCGTGGCCCCAATGAGCGTGCAGAATTCCCTCCAGAACACCGAGGTAAATTGGGGACCACGATCGGAAACCACATCGGTAGGTAGCCCATGGAGCCGGAACACATGGAGCAGGACCAGCTCCGCCGTCTCTTTAGCTGAGGGGAGCTTGGGTATCGGCACAAAATGAGCCATCTTACTGAACCGGTCTACCACCGTCAAAATGGCAGTGTGCCCGTTGGACGGTGGCAGACCAGTAACAAAGTCCAGAGAAATGTGGGACCAGGGGCGATGAGGGATAGGCAGAGGTTGTAGGAGACCAGCAGGAGCTTGGTGAGAAGACTTGTGTTGATTGCACACAGGGCAGGCATTAACAAATTCCCTGGTGTCCTCCTTAAGTGTTGCCCACCAGAACCTTTGCTGGACTACCTCCCGGGTACGTTGGATACCAGGATGGCAGGTGAGTCTGGAGTTGTGGGCCCACTGGATAACATCAGACCTCAACATCTGCGGAACGAACAGGCGGTTCGGAGGACAGGCACTGGGTCCCGGCTGGTCATCCAGGGCGGCCTTGACCCTCTCCTCCACTTCCCAGGTAAGGGCGGCGACGAGCTGAGGAGTCGGAAGGATGGTGTCTGAGCCTCTGGGAATGTTACCTCCCTCCCCAAACTGACGAGACAGAGCGTCAGCCTTAATGTTCCGAGAACCAGGGCGGTAGGAGAGGGAGAAATTGAACCGAGTGAAAAATAGGGCCCATCTAGCCTGTCGGGAATTCAGTCTGCGGGCCGACCGGATGTATTCCAAATTCTTGTGGTCGGTCCACACCAGGAAAGGTTGACTGGTCCCCTCGAGCCAGTGGCGCCACTCCTCCAGAGCCAACTTCACTGCTAGCAGCTCCCGGTTTCCAACATCATAGTTTCTTTCCGCTGGTGTCAAACGCCTCGAAAAGAAAGCACAGGGATGGAGTTTTTGGCTGTCTGTTGCTCGCTGAGACAGGATGGCCCCCACCCCCATATCAGAAGCATCCACCTCCAAAACAAATTGTCTTTCAGGATCGGGTACTCGGAGGATGGGGGCGGAGGTAAACCTGGCCTTAAGGTTCTGGAACGCCTCCTCAGCCGAGGAGGACCACTGGAACATAACCTTAGAGGAGGTCAGGGCTGTGAGTGGAACGGCCAAGGTGCTGTATCCACGAATGAACCTCCGGTAGAAGTTGGCGAACCCGAGGAACTGTTGTAGCCGCTTCCGGGAGTCTGGAACCGGCCAGGAAGTGACTGCATCGACCTTGGAGGGATCCATCTCAATGCTCCCCTGTCCCACGATGTATCCCAGAAAAGAGACAGAGGATGTGTGAAACTCACACTTCTCCGTTTTAACAAACAGTGAGTTCTCCAGCAACCTCTTGAGAACCGCCTGGACGTGGTGCACGTGTTCCTTCAGAGTCTTGGAAAATATCAGGATGTCATCCAAGTAAATAAATACGTGTCGGTCCAACATGTCACGGAGCACGTCATTTACCAACGCCTGGAATACTGCAGGGGCGTTGGTAAGTCCAAAAGGCATCACCAGATACTCGTAGTGCCCCGAGGCAGTGTTGAAGGCGGTCTTCCACTCATCCCCCTCGCGAATACGTACCAAGTGGTACGCGTTACGCAAGTCCAGCTTGGTGAATATGGTTGCTCCCTGCAGCAACTCGAATGCAGAGGAGATAAGAGGCAGTGGGTATCGATTTTTTACAGTAATGTCATTAAGACCCCGAAAGTCGATACAGGGCCTTAGGGTCTTGTCCTTCTTCTCCACAAAGAAGAACCCCGCTCCAGCGGGTGATGAGGAAGGGCGAATAATCCCAGCCGCCAGAGAGTTATTGATGTACGTCTCCATGGAAACTCTTTCCGGAGCAGACAGGGAGTACAATCGACCCCTGGGAGGGCTGGTACCGGGATGTAGGTCGATGGCACAGTCGTAAGGCCGGTGTGGTGGTAGGGAAGTAGCCCTCGTCTTGCTGAATACTTCCTTAAAGTCCAGATATTCCGGTGGAACCCCTGTAACATCCGGAACTTGGCTGGGGTTCACCGAACGCTGAGGCGCGGCAGCCTGTTTCAGACAGATCTGATGACAAGAGGGGCTCCACCCCAAAATGGCTCCCGTCTCCCAGTCAATGTTAGGGTTGTGGCGGCGGAGCCATGGGTAACCCAGGATAAGCGGGATATGTGGAGACCGGAGAACATGAAACTGAATAGTTTCGTGATGGTTCCCGGACAGGAGCATGTGAACAGGTACAGTCTGATGAGTCACTGTCCCCAGCAGGTGACCGTCTAAGGCGCTGGCTGGAACTGGGCGAGATAAGGGAACCCGGTCTATTCCCAACTGCAGCATAAGCTCTTCGTCCATAATACTCGCGTCCGAACCAGAGTCAATAAAAACTGCAAGAGCCTGAGAGCTATCCGGTAATAGCAACCTGGCGTGGCTCAATGGTCTCTGAGCGGGAACAAATCCAGGGGTTTGGCTCACCAGTATGTTCCCCATTACTGCTGAGCCTTGCCTTTTACCGGGCAGCGAGAAACAAAATGGCCGGCCCGGCCGCAGTAGAGACATAGGTTACCTCGTCTGCGATGTTCACGTTCCTCCAAGGTGAGGCTGGTGCGACCCACCTGCATGGGCTCATCACCCCCTGGTTGCGGCTCTGGAGTGAGGGGAGGAGTCCCAGTCGAACCCGGATGTCGGGGCGCCCATGCATGTTGAACTCCCTCCGATCGTCGCTCCCGTCTCCGTGTCTGGATGCGCCGATCCATGCGGGAAGTCAGCTCAATCAGCCCATCCAGTGAGTTGGGCAGATCAAAAGACACCAGCTCATCTTTAATGTAAGCCGCCAAGCCACGCAGATAGGCGTCACACTGGGCTTCAGAATTCCAGTTGCTGAGGCGGCCCTTGGTGCGAAAACCCAATAGCATAATCCACCACAGATCCATTACCCTGGCTCAGGCTCAGTAATCCTCCTGCAGCGTCTGGACCCACAGACACGGGTCCAAACACCTTGCGCAGCTCCGCGGAAAAAGCGGGGAAAGAAGAGCAGGCGGGTGTCTGCCGCTCCCATTCAGCTGTGCCCCACAGTCGGGCTTTCCCAGTCAGATGATTGACCGTGAACGCCACACGAGCTGCTTCAGAAGCGAAAGTGTGTGGCTGCAGCGCGAACAGGATAGAACAGTTAGTAAGAAACGGGCTGCAGCCCTCCGGTTCCCCGGCGTAACGCTCCGGAGTTCCCACCCGAGGCTCTGGGGTAAATCCCATCGGAGAGAATGCAGAAGCGGGTGCCGGCGGCATGGGAAGAGGCGCTGGAGCAGCCCCTACTGCCGCCGCTAGCTGCTGCACAGTAGCCGTTAGCTGCTGTAGCTGCGCAGCTAAATAGGTTAGAGTCTGGTCGTGTGTAGAGTTAGCATGATGAGCCTCGGTGGCCAGGGAGGCTATCGAGGCTTCCTGCCTCTGGAGAGCGTCCTCAACTCTCTCGAAACGGTCTTTAGGTGAAGAGGAGTGCGCTGGGTCCATGTTCTGGCCAGATCGTTCTGTCACGATCTTATGAAGGACCCAAATGCAGCACTCGAGAAACCAAGGAGTATTGGTAATGTACTTTATTGGTAATACTACCAGAGCAGAGGAATACCAGCAGAACAGTATCAGCCGGATGATGTGCAGGCCGACGAACCAGAGGACAGCGGGCAGAAGGTGAGTCAGGGCCGGGCAGAGGGTCAGGGAGCAGGCGAGGCGGTCAACGTAGGTACAGGCAGGGTCAGACAGCAGGCAAGGCAGGATAGTCCAGGGACAGGCAGGATCAGGGAACAGGCAGAGCAGGCAGGTCAGGGACAGGCAGGGTCGGAACCGGGTGGGCAATCTGGTGACAAACGCGTGAAAGACTAGCATGAAGACAAAGTACGATCTGGCAATGGGTGTGTGTCTGGTGAGGGTTTAAATACTGGCAGTAAAGCTAATGGGTGCAGAAGAGAAAGAGAGTGAGCAAAAACGTGGGTGTGGTTAACAGGTGAGACAGGTGAATGGAAAACTACTGGTGAATGATGGAGCAGAACTGTGACACATACCTCCACTGTATGATTCTATCCCACATTGAATACTGTTTTACAAACTGGTCGTTTGCTTGTGCCACAAACCTGAAACCTATAGAACAGCTGTACAAGAGAGCTATCAAGGTGTTTGACAGAAAGCCTTATTCATACCACCACTGTACCATCATTGAAAAACACAATTTCTTGAGTTTTGACAATTTTAAGTCTTTTAAAAGTATGTGTTTTTTGTATAAATGTTTACATGGACTGCCCCCCCCCCTTCCCCCTTAGGGGAATTCATCCACAAAAAACACACTGGACGCTGCACTAGGTCAGAAACCAGAGGAGACTGTGAAGTCCACCGCAGATGGACCACTTTTGGACAAAATGTCCTCTCTATTAAAGGCAGCTCATTGTGGAATAGCCTCCCAACTCAGATACAGGATTGTCCCACTCTCAATCGTTTTAAAGGACAACTTAAAGAATGGTTGAGAAACAAACAGACGTGTAATCACCGCTAAATGCACTTTAATACAGGGGTCTCTCCTCTTGCACTTTATGTAGCACTTTTATCTTCTCTTGCACTTTATATATCATAGCTGCTACATTGTAGGCCTACAGCCATGTGGTAAATGCTTGTATGCCGCTCATGCTCTTTCTGCATATCATGAATTTATTTTTGCTATGTATATAAATGTCATGTTCTTATATGTTGTATGTGACGGGACTACGGATGGAAATTAGCTCAAAACTAAAATCCGGCTCATTTACACTTGTAAGCATTATTTTTGTTTTAAAGTGTTCATCAATGTGCACTGTCCCGGTTCAAATAAACGATTAAATGAAAATGAAAAAATGCAGGTATTTTACTTGTAACAGAGTATTCCTACACTGTGGTACTTCTACTTTTACTCAAGTACAAGATCTGATTACTTCTCCCACCTCTGCTCCCCGTCGATAGAAGATTTCTACACCAGTAGGGAAACGGTCAGCAGCTCCGTTGTTTTCTAGTGATATTGGCTAGCTAGCAAGCAAACTAGCTAAGCTAATACTTCCTCCACAAACTATCGTCCCTGCGTTGAAAGCCACCCAGTTTATTTGGCTAGGTTCCACTGTATAACTAAGAATTCAACAACATTCCCATAGACTTTTGTTTAAAATGTCTGACCTTTACGAGTGAACACACCCAACCAAGCCTATATATTCTTGGGGGTCCATTTTTATTCAGATTTGTGATTAAAACGTAATACTCTAAACTATTTTTCAGGATAGCAAAGTAACATCACTTTCAAGTTAGGAAATGGTGTTTAGTCCAAATATTGTTTAACCACCAGACAATTGTTGTCTCTTTGCTGGAGTGAAAATAGCCATCCTCAACATTACTTGTATTATGGTTTCAGAATGATGAAGACTAATATTATAGGATTTGTTTTCTACAGGAGGATTTTTTACTGGGCAAGTTCCATATGATATACAACATTTAATAAATTCCAATATCTAAAGTGAGTTGAGTTGAGTTGAGTGTTTGAGTTCTGTGTAGCAGCTCACCGATCATTGGCATGTTTGCTTCAGTGGAGGGCAAAATGTCCTGAAGAATCAACAGCATGAAGGAGATGGACAGGAGTATCGTCACTTTGAAGCTCAGCTTTTCACCTCTGGCCTCACTGATGGAGAATGAGGCCAAATCCAGGACCAGAAAAAAGAGCAGTGGGACGATTAAATTGATCACATAGAGCATCGGCTTCCTGGAGATTGAGACCTGAAAAAAACCATTACATTTACAATATTAATTAGAGACAAAGATTGTTTCTCAATGTCAAAGAAGCATCCTTAAACGGTTAATTCCCCGCGTCTTTGAATCCCCCTGTACGACTGTCTTCAAAGTCGTTCGTTGAGAAGCAGAAATAATCTGAATTATACTAATTATATGCCAAAATAAAATAAGTAATAAAATAAGATGGAAGATATAAAGTTGATTAGTAATAATAAAATAAAGTGTGTACAAATATTTAAAAACATTAAAAAGATAGTAAGCATATTCGCAGCATGGAAATATATAGTACGTCCGTAAATGCTACAGCACCAAAGGTCACTTCTTTTTTTTTATCAATGGTGAAGTCTTTAATTTTTTGTGAACAACCTCAATTGGCACCAAGGTCATTTTTCTTTATTCTTTATTACCCTGAAATAAAAAAAATGCAGTTTCATAAACGATGCAAATAATTTTGTTTTGCCAAAACACACACTGTCACTGTACACTTACCTAAAATGTAAGTTTTATGTACTTATTTTAACAAGGTAATCGCATCATTCCTTCCTATATTATGGCAGATATGCTGTAAACTAGCTTGCTAATGTAGCTAACTTAGTCTGCCAAAAGTGAGAGTGCCAACTTTAAAAAAAACGACAACCAACGCTCCGTCTCAGCTGTGTGCATCACTTTTTAGAGTCCCTGTTTCCGTTGAGTTTGGAGCATCTTGCAGCGTTTTGTATTTGCAGTGTTTCATTTATGAAGTGCCTTTAGTAAAAGCTGCGCATGTTTCATCAAGCTGGTGGAGGTGTTTCGTCATTTGCATGTGTTTTGGCACATTTGTGTTTTTATATTTGCATCGTTTTTTTTTAAGTTCAGCACGTTTATCCTAATGGCAGTGTTTTGGGCTGCACCTCTTGGCCAGCATACAATGTCTTCTTAATACCTGAATAAAAAACTTCTTGCTTCAAATAAAAAGAGTTGAAAGAAAGAAAATACTGTTGTAAAATGTAATTACGAATATTTTCTTACCTTGTATATGAGTTTGCTTTTACTTGCTTTGGTTACATTTCTTAAAATAATTCTCATGTTTTGGAGTTCCCATTCGCCCTTTGTAACCATTAAATGATCAGAGACCTCAGTGAGGGCCGTGCCACGCTTGCGTGACTCTAGTTGTACAGTGTTTTCTGTGTGGAGAAAAGAGGTTTTAAATAATGATATCACCGATATTCCAAAAAAAGAATGTCATGCATTGATCAATTGTGATGGTCTGGAATATTCTTTTGCCACTATAACATGACTTCTTTCAGACTTGTGGAAAGCCAACGTCTAATTAACACATTTAGATGTTATTGACTAACTTTGTCTATTTGTCGCATTATATCGTGCCTCATTTGCATATTTAACCATAACATTTCAGAATACTTGTAAAGAAATTATATTATAATTATAGCCTTATAAATAGATTTTTCTTTCCTAAAAAAGAGTGGAAAATCGTGATATTTGTTATGGCTGTTGACAGTATTTTTGGAGTGAAGAGAAGAATCCCCTCTGTAACAGCCTTCTACTCTAATTTGTCAACAAAATGAAACAATCATTTTAATTGTTGCCTCATCCATGTTAAGATTACTTTTAAGGAATCGATGCAAATAAACAATACAAACTATGCAAGATGCATGCTGGTATCTAACTAAATTAAACCCTAATCCTCTGAGGTGTCTCCCCTAGCTTGGTGTAAATTACCATCTGAGGTCATGGATGAAAATGTGATGTTACACTCTTGCGTATCAAAGGGGAACAGCAAGAGATCCATCTGACAGGTGGAAGTCAGCCGCTCTCGTGTAGTTGCAAACATCGAACCGTTGGGATACAATTTCACGACTGCACTTTTGTGAATGCTCCCAGCATCAGAGGTACTGAAAAAGTAAAGAACGACATTCTGATTTAATGTGTTTGCCTAGATCTTCATCAAAAACTGGTCAAAGCACAGATGTTTATAATTACAGACATCTAAACAAATCACAGTACTGTATATATAACTAGCATGAACTACTTTGCATCACTTTTTTTTTTACTGACTTTAGACACATTATATGGAATTTCCCCTACTGGTTCTTTCAATTAAAACCAAAATTGAGAGTTGTTTTTCATACAACAACTGCCTTCAGGATTCTACCGCGAGCTGAATAACTCGAGGAGGTCTCCTTCTCTCCAAAACAAACAGACTCTGTGATTCAAACCGGTAAAGACACTGATAAAGCAGTTACACGATCAAATCTGTTTCCCCAATGCTGTTCCACGTTAACCATATTTTGCTAAGCTTGTTACTCTGATAACATTAAGGGGCCCTATTATGCTCAATTTCAAGTTTATTTGGGGTTTTTGTTCCTCTACTGTGACATGTTTACATGCTTTAATGTTCAAAAAGGTATTTTTCTCATACTGCCTGTGCTCTTTTCCCCCTCTGTCTGAAACCAGAGCCCAGTCTGCTCTGATTGGTTAGCTGGCCGGTTCTGTTGTGTATGGTAAACCGCTTAGAGTTGTGTTAGAAATATCCCAGCCCTTAGCCTATCATGTACAATGTGTTGGAGCACTAGCCAATAGAAGCACAAGTGTTACATGGTGATGTCACTATGCTCCGGAAGTAAACAGAGGAGTCCAATGGAGGCATTTCAGGCTGGGGGGGGAGTGTGTGGGAGAGAAACTCCTTCTGGAGGGGACACAGAGATTTTAGCGTTTGCAGACCCTTTACATGCAAAAAGATATAACACTCAACAGGAAAGGGTTAACCCCAAAAAGCAGAACAGGGCCTCTTTAAATAAAGCTATATTTTGGAATTGGACTTTTTAGGAGCCTGCTTTATGAAACTTCCCTTTGAATAAGATCCTCAACCTGCAACTCTGTGATAAATGAGAACTCACTCCTCTTGGATTTCAATATCTGGGATCCACAGCCTGGTTCTTGGAACAGTCAGCATATTTATCCCGCAAAAGTCTGTAGAATTCCAAGTTAGGAATTCATTTGTCCAAAACTGGGAAAATACAAATGAACGTTTAAAAAATGTTTAGACACAGATTGATGAGTGAGATTGAAATAGACATTAATGATGTTTGAAAATGCAATTTAATTCTTGAGCACCTAAAATAAACATTATCATTGATGACACTCACCATTTGGACCCAAATTTGGCTTGTGACCGTCTGAGACTTCTCATCCTGCAGACAATCAATGTGGTATTGCAATCATAGGCATTTACAGGAAAAATAACTTGAAAAGATCGATGTTCTTACTTACTTACTGTATATCCATCCACAAAGACAGTTCTGTGGTTTTTTCTAGGTTTGGACATTTCTGTCTCTGAGATTTTCATTGGATTTTAAATATTTTATAAATAATAAAGTAGTTGCAGAATGGCTACTTTTACTGTTAAAATACAGCGCTCCCAAATCTCTACATAAGATATAAGAAATATATTTCTAGACTTCACTACAACAAGAATAAATACATTACATTAACCTTTTAAAATACACATCGAAAAATGTAAAGATATTTATTTTAACATTGTTGAAAAATATAATACGTCACAGTCCGACAAAAATAGTGCTCACTGATTAAAATAATAAAATACTGCTGCTAAAAATATATTCAACGGGGGCTCTGTTACAGGTTACAGTAAAGCATATATAAAATGTTAGAAAAAAAAAACTTTATTGGTGCATAAATGGATGGACTTTTACTTGATACAGATTTTTCTACACCATTGTGACACTACTTTAACTTAAGTGAAAGATTTAAGTAACTTCTCCACATCTGACTGACCGGTTTTAATATAAAAACAATTACATTAAAAAACTCAGGTAGAATACAATATTGACTAAATGTACTTTTCAACACTGCAGACAACTAAAATTACATAACAAAATAGGTAAGAGCCAATATATTTTTTTGATAGAAATTACATTTAAAAACAGATACCTTCATGAACGCAATGCACACTGAATCTGAATTGTTTTCCTTATGAAGACACTTACCACTTCTAAAATGCCATACAACAACATGTCCAGATGAACGAGGGTGGGTGTAGTCCAGACTTTCACGGGTCGCATGGTTGCTAGAAGATCATTAGTTGACGCCAGGTTCAAATGTGCCAGAAGACCAACGTATGAGCAGTCTGAAGCCTGACTGCTGGAAGCTGCAGGGTAAGAGACAAAAAAACTACTTTTCTAGAGAAATAAAGTATTTTTATTCCAACATACTATTCAGAAGTTGAATTATAAAACCCACAAGTAATTAAAAAACTCACCAACTAAAGCTAGAAAAGCCAGAGTCCTCAGGGCTGACATGATTGTTTGCCCTCATCTCGTCCTGAGGGCACGCTTTTAAGCTGCAGAACCGTGTTGCATTATGAGCAGAACAAAGAGACTTCAATAGAACTGATTACATAACATAAATCCTTCGCGCTTTTATTGTTGAGCTGCAGCTGATGCAATAAGTAAACATGAGGAGATCTCAGTGACATTGAGGGTTTTAGAGTGCAAACTAGTCAAACACCTGTGGTCAAGAACAAATACAGGCAGGTGACAGGAAATAATTCCAGGTTATTATTTAGAACATTAAAAATGTACCTACACATAGTGAAAATAAGTATCTGAGTTACAATTTTGTATTTATTAAATAACTAGACTCACCTGTGTTTAAAATAGAAAACCAATTATTATTATTATTTTTCATTCAAATTCAGCTGTTTGCTCTAAACAGATCTATTTATGTTTTTCTTGGGACTTTGTGAAATGAAGAACATCTATGGGGTTAGATTTGTCTCAATAATATGTGTGAACATAAAAATAATTTGTGTGTAAATGTGTGATTTGTAAATGTAAACACCATCCACAAATGCATTGAAAAGATTGGCAAACTCCTCAAAAGAAAATGTTCAAATATAAAACGGATCTGCAAATATGCAAAATGTTTTCACAAATTTAAAAAATGATCTGTGAATACTATAATTAGTTTACAAATACACAAAAGGAATTTGTGAATATCTCTCTAACATTGACAACTTTCGATCAGGCATTTGTGAATCAATTTAGTATTTGTCGACAAAAAATGCGTTTATGGAACTCAATTCTCTGCTTGTGGAGCGTTTTACACACGAGTTTTGAGACAAACCTTCCGCCGGTCTCGACTAAAATCTGCTCGTGTCACTCGGTTATTTTCGGAGACCACGTTATGGCCTGCTGATGACGACATTTCTGTGGGCGGCCTTACAGATGGAGACGCTCTCGAGGACGAGCAGGAGAATGACCAGACAGGCGTATGTACGCAAGATGGAAGAATTGGTCCGACCCTATGTACTCTGTACTGGAAGCTCTCTTACACTCCCAATTTCATCAAAACAAATTGGATTATGATAGATTATAAGATCTTTTACAAACATACCCTGTGCTAAATCCATGATTTGGTCGGAGCGCCCTCTGCGACTGGATCCTGAACTTCCTGACGGGCAGACCCCAGGCAGTGCGGGTGGGAAACATCACATCCTCCACCCTGATTCTTAACACCGGTGCCCCTCAAGGCTGCGTGCTCAGCCCTCTCCTCTACTCCCTGTTCACCCACGACTGCGTGGCCACACACAGCTCCAACACCATCGTGAAGTTTGCTGATGACACGACCGTCATCGGCCAGATCACAGACGATGACGAGACGGCATACAGAGAGGAGGTCGAAAACCTGACATCTTGGTGCCAGGAGAACAACCTCCATCTCAACATCAGCAAAACAAAGGAGCTGATTGTGGATTACAGGAAGCAGCAGGGAGAGGGACACGCCCCCATCGCCATCAATGGGACTACGGTGGAGAGAGTCAAAAGCTTCAGGTTCCTTGGGGTCCACATCACTGAGGACCTGACATGGTCTCTTCACACCACCACCATCACCAAGAAAGCTCGACAGCGGCTCTTCTTCCTCCGCAGGTTGAGGAGGTTCAAAATGGATTCCAGGATACTCTGCAACTTCTACAGGTGCACGATAGAGAGTATCCTCACTGGCAGCATGACGGCCTGGTACGGCAGCTGCACCGACCTCGATCGTAAGGCTTTACAGAGGGTGGTGAAAACTGCACAGCACATCACCAGGACGGAGCTGCCATCCATGGAGGACCTTTACTCCCAGCGGCTCAGGAAGAAATCACTACGGATTATCAAAGACCCCCATCACCCCAGCCACAAACTGTTCTTTCTGTTGCCGTCTGGCAGACGTTACCGCAGCATCCGGGCAAGGACAAGAAGATTCGGAGACAGTTTCTTCCCGCGGGCAGTGAGACTGTTAAACAATTGAACTGTTGAAACAACTTCAAACATTCAACTGCTACTCAGTAGTATGTATCTAATACCTAATATATATATATCATTCCAATAACTTGTATATAGACTCATACTGCACTATTCCACATCATAACTTTATTTCATTTTTATAACTATTATTATTTTTGTATTGCTCTTGCTCTTATTGTTATTATGTTATGTTATTATGTTGCATTGTTGGAGAAGCCTGTGACATAAGATTTTCAACTGCATAATTACTCTGTAGCTATGTCAGATTGACAATAAAGAACCTTGAACCTTGAACCTTGATTCTTCTGCCATGGGAAGTGATGCAGGGTGGACCCAGGAGGTCAGGTGGTTGCAAAGCTGGGACAGCTAACACTAGCGAGGTCAGGCGGGAAAAACACACAAACTAGGATCATAAGAATTGTGTCACTACTTTATTTAAGCCCTGGCTATCCTTACCTGACTGAATAAAACACTTTCTCCCCAGTCCGAATTTTCAACCAGCTTTCAAGCCTGCTAGAGTCTTGCCTGCTAGTCTACAACCAGCTAGCAATCGGTCTACACTCCAGCCTGCCACAAACTCAATCCGGCTGAAAAACGGTGGTTTCTGCAGCCCACCTGTTCTGAACCATCTCCAGTCCCAAACCCATTATTTGGATCCCGCTTGGCCTTCGAGATCTTTGAAGCCATTGGGACAACTTACCAAATTCTGGAGTCTTGCGTCAGAATCCCTCGCTGCCCGAATACCAGCACAAGCCCCAGAAAGCAACTCTGCCCATCTGGTCTTCCTTCTGCCTATCCTCCGGAGAGGCTCTGTCAATCCGTCTTGTCTGGGACAGTACCCAGGGGGAGTGGATACTGTCATGGTCTGGTTTTTGTGTTTCCTGTTTTATTTCTAAACATTATTCCCCTGCTTTATGTATGTTTTTACTTCCTGTCTTTGTGTTTTCCCATGTTTGATTGTCTGCCCCAGCCCATTTATGGTTGGTTAAACCTTAAATGTTACATTATAAAAATGTGATGAATTTGAATTACTTTCATTTAGTTCATACGATTGATACTGATATTTATTGTCGTGGATGGAGACACGCACACAACTTTAATAAGAGAAACATTTTTATTGTGTTCTGCTGTTTTTTTTATTATTACGATCATCCCAAAAAAGTATATTGAATTGTAACACAGTTTATATTGGTGATTAAATGGAGTTATACCTGTAAGCATTATCATTTGCTTGATGCAACTTGATGATTCAAATCAAACAATGGGAGCATGTATTGTTTTAAAAAAAACAGTTACATACATGGCAGAAAGGTTTCAGCAAAAGTTGTAAAGCACCACTAAACATTATATGACAACACTAATATGTGTGCAAACATGGCCCTCCGTGCTGCCAAGGTTATCAAAATGACCCACACCTTAACCAATAGGACCTGTCACATGACACATGTACATACAATTCCTTAAATGTGTGATTAAATATAATTTCATGGCAAACACAGTTCCATTAGTATATTTTAAAAGTTATTGGTATTTTCTTTCATGCCACTTGCTTCAGTTAGGGAATATTAAACCATTTTTTAGTAAGAGTTTCTAAAGTGTATTTAAATAAAATCCTAGCACAAATAAGACAAGAAACCTGTGATGATTTAAGCTAAATAACTACTTTTCTATGATTTTGATGATTTATATATGATGATTTCAAATGTAAACCTATCGTTTTGTTATTTGATATATTATATATTTTTCTGACTTTTCTATGTTTCATCCTAAAGTTATTGGTTCATTACACATTTTTTTTATTTAAAGTGGACCTATCATGCTATATTTGAATAATATAGTGTAGGAACATACCTATATAAGGCATATTTATGCATTTTAGCCATGCCTCATTTCGCTCAATTTGCACTTTTTTATCCCTGTTTTAGCAAGGGCTGATTCTGTGAGAACAGCACCATCTACAGGCCTGGCATATGTACTACAGCGTCTCCAGCGCTTTCGAACGGCAATGGCCCTGGCTGTCTCCTCCTGATTGGTGGAGTTGGCCCAATAGCCGTAGCGCCACTGTCCTGACGTCAGGACAGTGTTCAAATCTGGATCAGTTTTTATCAGATCCGTTGCAGCCCCTTTTTTAGAGATTTGGGTATGGAGGAAAATAGAGAGGGTTGTGTTTTCTGACACTTGGTGAGTTCCCTGGAACACCGGGGACACATATTCATGTATAAAAGACGTACAAAAGTGCATTTTGCATGATAGGTCCCCTTTAACTTCTTGAATCGCTCTCTGAATAAGAATGTGGTTGAACTACCAGCAAGCTTCTACAAAATGTAGTTACATTTTAGTTAAGTAACACATAGTTCACTATTCATATGAATTCAGATGCTGTACATACAATCATTTTCATAGTCTATATTTTGAATAGGCTGTAAATTCATGTCTGAAAACTTAACTGGTTCATTGCACCACTTAAAAAAAGAATAAAAAGTAGTATATTTAAAGAGCACCAACATTGAAGATCAATCATTTAAAGGTTCGAAATGGTGATAATAATATACGTTTAAAAAAATCTTTAAAGTCAGATTTAAGAGCATGCAATGGCAGATTATGCACACATCAACTACTTCTTATCATTATGTATATATCGCTGAAAACCATTCTGCATTCATGTATAACAAAAAAACCAAATCAGTTAAAAAATAGAGGGCAAAGTAAACACTGTCTATGATTACAGCCGCTCTTCTGTAGCGTCCTGGCTTTCTCTGGTCTTTGTTTTGTTCTTCAACTTCCTGTCGAGCTGCCTTCACCTTCATCAGTTTCAGCAGGTCACAACAATTGAGCCCATCCAGAGGAAGGGAACTTTTCTCAGGAATCTCTATTGCTCCAGCAGGCTCTGTGTGGAAGAGACAGTTCAACAGAATGAAAAAGAGCTTAGTTGAAAATTGCTAGACTATAAGATATTTATATAAAAATGTACAGTGAAATGTATTGCCAATTGTAGTGTTGTATAATTGTATTGTCTATTTAAGTCAATCTTCCTAATATAAAAATCTATTACACATTTGTATCAAGGTGCCTAACATCTGTCTATTTATGGGTGTGTTCTTATCTTAAAAATAGTTAGGTGGAACAAGTACTCAGATCGTGTAGTAAAGTCAGATAAAAAGTACCAGACTGTAGGTATATTCTGTATTAAGAATATATAGGCCTCTATAGGAAATGTTACTTCATAAAAAGTACAAAAGTATTGGCATCTAAATATACTTAAAGTACTAAATGTAAAAGTACTCATCATGCAGATTCAGAATACTTTTTGATTACAATGATTGAGTAGGTAGGTAGGTAGGTAGGTAGGTAGGTAGGTAGGTAGGTAGGTAGGTAGGTAGGTAGGTAGGTAGGTAGGTACGTCTCTATTTTGGAGAGACCTTACCTTTGTGATTGTCGTCTTTCACTAGGATATCCACTTGGGCGTCAGCAGGGCTTTGAGCCGTCATAGAGCCGCAACCATCGAGGTTGTATAGGTAGCCCACCAGCATGGCCTCCAGGACGCTTAACCCCACAATGGTGAAGATCGCAAGGCAGTAGCTGGCTATGAAAAGATCCAGCGACATTTTCTGGTCAGTGTGATGTTGTTGAAGTAAGTAATGAGCAGGGGCGGCGCCAAGAGGTTGGCTACTGAGGCACATCAGTGGGTGCACATGTGCTGTCAAGTTGTTGAAGATGTTTCTTCATTTGTAAGAGTTTTGGCACATTTGTGTTTTAATATTTGCATCGTTTCTGCAGTGCGTCTCTCCTAGTGGAAGTGTTTTGGGCCGTTGTAGTGCGTTTACACCTGTCGGCCACCGTGCATGAAGCCTAAAAACTTAAATTAAAAAATGAAACTTAACCCTTTGAGGCAAGTTCATCAAACCTTCTTCAGCTACAACAAGGCAGGCCAAAATGTGTTGAGAACCTAAATGATATGTGGGCCTGATCAAAATGACCTCAGACAAGATTTGGCATAGGATGATTTTTTACTTGGCAACTATCATGGTTTTTTCCATATTATGTACAGAATTGAATGCAGCTTACCAATCCATGGCAGCTTCTTTTCAGTGGAGGGCAAAATGTCCTTAAGAATCAGCAGCATGACGGAGATGGACAGGAGTAACGTCACTTTGAAGCCCAGCTTTTCACCTCTGGCCTCACTGATGAAGAAGGAGGCCAAATCCAGGATCAGAAAATAGAGCAGCGGAATGATTAAATTAATCACATAAAGCATCGGCTTCCTTGAGATTATGACCTGGGGGGAAAAAAAAAAACATATCATTTTAAATTATTGTCAAGCAAGGATTCTGAAATGGCTGTATAATATTAAAGAGCAATATTATGCAAATATTCCTAAAAAATAAATAAAGTTAAAATAAAACAAACCTTTTTTTAAATATACTTTTTAATTAGTACCAATATTTGCAACATGTACAAATACATAATGGAGACTTTAACTTTGCGTTTAACCTTTTAAACTCCAGTGAACTCTCTTTTAAGGACACCTAGACATCGGAACTGTGTCAACAACAACAGACTCAACAACTCAGTTTCTCTTTTTTGTTTGTAAAGTCTTCTTAATACTTGTATTTAAAAGAAAAATCCTTTGTACATCTGTATGCTTATCTGGGAAACTCCCAATAAAATGTTATAAGAAAAAAAATAATGACAATTTCATTACAAATATGTTCTTACCTTGTATGTTAGTTTCTGTTTCTTAAGAGTTGTTTTGAAATAATTAAATGAAACAATTTCCATTTTGACGAGTTCCCATTCTCCCTTTGTAACCATGAACTGCTCCGAGATGTAGGTAAGGGCTTCGTCAGTGTTGACTGTCCCCAGTTGTATAGCGTTGCCTGTGTGGAAAAGAAAGTGATAAACAAATAAATAATGATATCACATATGCTCCATTGCAGGAAAAATTGCTCAGTCTGCAGTTAATGAGGGACACTACAGGAAAAAGTAGGTGTTTATTTTCATGCTTTGGTCAAATTTGACACTTCGTGCTATAATGCTATATTCAAAATTAGAAAATACCCCTGTAGGTGTTTACTTTGCTAACATTGTCTAATTGTTACTTCATATTTAATGAATACATTTATAATTCAACAAAAGCTGGCATTTCATAATGCCTCAATTCAAACTTTTGTAAAACAAAAAACAATTGTCTCGTGTGTGTAATATAAGTAATCAACTGGGGAAGTTTCAAAGCAACATCCATAAGTTACATGGTTTTACCTTATTTACCTGTAACGTACGGTGGCCGGTGGCCAACAGGTGCAAATGCGCCACAATGCCCAAAACATTTAAATTAGGACAAACAAGCTGCAGCTTCTAAAATGATGCAAATATAGAAACACAAATGTGACAAACACATGCAAATGAAGAAACATCTTCACCATCTTGAAAACACATGCACACCATTTAGAAAAAAACTTGACGCTTGCAGAATTAACTAAAAGCGCTGCAGATTAAAAAAAAACTGCAAATAAAAAAAAAGCTGCAAGAAGCTCAAACACAAAAGAAACCAGGGGACACTAAACGTGATGCACACAGCTGGGAAGGGAGCGCTTGTTGACGTTCGGGGATTAAATTAATATATTATCAAGTTGTCGAACTGTCACTGTTGGCACTGTTTAAAAATTGTGAGTAAGTGTTTAGTCAGTATACACGAAATGAATAAGATAGCAGATCTGCCATAATATCTGAAGGAATCATGCGATCACATTGTTAAAATAAGACAATAAAACCTACATTTCAAGTAGGTTTCCAGTGACAAGTAAGAGTTGGCCAAGCATAATTTTTAGTGCCCTCGTTTTTTTTTTGAGCTTCTTGAAGCATTTATTATTTGCAGCGCCTTTAGTAAACGCTGTGCACATGTTTCATCAATTAAGTAAAGATGTTTATTTTTGCTTGTATTGTGGCAAACACATTTTTTAATACTTGCATCGTTTTCTCCTCATGGATGTGTTTTGGACCTTTGTACCACATTTTCAACTGTCAGCCACCGCAGTGATGGATGACTTGCAAAATGATTAAAATTGTACAATACATGTCTCTTAATGTTGTTTTCTCAAAGTGAGTTTTTTCTCATATTCCAGTTGTCTTTTTATCTATATTTTGACGGTTTTCAGAGAGGGCTTTGATTAATATAACATTTTATTCCTAAATAAATTGTGATTCTTTTTCTACGGCTGATGACAGTATTATCATAATGAATGCCAATTAGCACAAATATAATGACATACAGTGTAAGTCCTCATTTGCATATTCAAACATATCATTTCAGAAAACTTGCAATACAAAAAATATTTTCCCTAAAACAAGTAATGAACTGTATGGTATTCATGCTGGTATCTATTAGTTCAATGTTAGTCGTGTCTCCCCCTAGTATGGTGTAATTTACCATCTGAGGTCATGGATGAAAATGTGATGTTACACTCTTGCGTATCGAAGGGGAACATGATGAGATTCAGCTGACAGGTGGAGGTCAGCCGCTCTCGTGCGGTTCCCGTCACCGAACCGTTGGGATACAAATTGACGACTGAACTTCTGTGAATACTGCTAGTATCAGAGGCACTGAAAAAGTAAAGAAGGCATTATGCTCATTTTCAGGTTCATATTTGTATTTTGTGCTTCTACTGTGACATGTTTACATGCTTTAAAGTGTGTATCTGTAAGGAAAAGCTCTTTAAATCTTTTCTTTTTGGCTCTAGCATTTGGGAAATTTGGGACAAAAATAAAAGATAAAACTGCAGCTCTGTGATGGATGAGTACTCACTCCTCTAGGATTTCTACATCTGGCAACCACAGCGTCGATCGTGGAACAGTCAGCATATTAATCCTACAGAAGTCGTTTGGATTCCAAGTTAGGTATTCATTTGTCCAACGCTGGAACAATAAAAAGTCTGGGTTTAAAGACATATTGTGACACGGATTGATGAGTGTATGATTGAAAAAGCAATGACTTACAGTGCAAAATTCCTCTTATTCTAACCCACTTATTTCTCGGACTCACCAATGCTTTTCACGTCTCGTCTTCACAATCCAACTTTTTTTTTTTGGTGCCATATCAAGCTTCTGCTCTATTTCTTGAGTGTTAGCATCAAGCACAACACCTGCCTTTATTACATGTTTATGGGGTTTTTTGTTTGTTAAAAATAATAGATAAACAGTTAAACGTGAGAATCATCACCTGGGTAAGAGTTTGGTTTTTTACTCACAAAACATTATGAGAAAATATTAAAAAATGTAAGAATTGCATTAAATTAACACTAATGTTTGCAAATGCAATTTCATTCTGGCAGCTGAAATAAATATTATCATTGATGAGCCTCACCATTTCGACCCAGATGTGAGTGGTGACCGTCTGAGTCTTCTCATCCTGCAGACAATCAGTCATACTGTAGATTATGTTTTCAAATGTGTACAGATCAAATAGCATGTACAGTAAGCTTGAACCACGTTTCCTCACTTATATCCCTCCTTGCAGACAGTTCTGGGTTATTTTCCTACGTTTTGACCCATTTGTGTCTGAAATTATATTTTTTAAAAGGTTTAACAAAACTGATTTGCATTGTTAAAATGTATTTTGTAAATACTGGGATAAATACAATACTCCCAATCCTCTAGTTCAAACTATTTTGTCAATATAAATAAAAAAATGAAAATAATTTGTTTATGTAAATGTAGTAACAAATATTATAAAATAACCACGGCAGAAAAATAAAGAGGTCACTCAACTTGAGTGTAATTTCAAAAATGTCCCTCTGATCCACAGGTAAAAAAATAAAATACCTTATTAAAAAAATTAAAATAAAGTGTAATAAAAATGGGAAAAGGGCTAGTCAAAGGGTTATGTTACAATAGAGAAGGTAAAAAAAACAAACATCTATGGCCCAAAAATTGGTGGATTTGACTTGTTACAGATAACGTCTATATTGTCGTACTACTTTTATTAAACTAATAGATCTGAGTAATTCATCCACCTCTGACTACTTTTTTTAAATGTAATAATAACTTTAATATAATTGAAGTACTCAAATGAAAAAATACACTTGAGTGAATTAATATTCCACCACTGCATTAAACCAAAATTACCTGTAATAATTCATCCGCAAAGCATGGAGCAAAGATGTTTTTTGTGTTTGATTGAAATGACAAGACACTTACCACTTCTAAAATGCCATACAACAACATGTCCAGCTGAACGAGGGTGGGTGTAGTCCAGTCTTTCACGGGTCGCATGGTTGCTAGAAGATCATTAGTTGTCGTCAGGTTCAAATGTGTCAGAAGACCAACGTATGAGCAGTCTGAAGTCTTACTGCTGGAAACAGCTGCAGGATAGGAGACCAAAAACTCTCTTTTAGACAAAGAAATAATCTTTATTGTAACATTCAAATATTGTATTTAATAACTCACCAAATAAAGCTAGAAAAGCTAGAGTCCTCAGGGCAGACATGGCTGTTTGCCTTCTTCCCATCCTGAGGGCATGCATTTAAGCTTTTAAGGACTGTGTTGCGTGAAAAGCAGAACAAAACAACAGTTACGTAAGCCGAGAAGAGACTTCAATAGATGTAATTACAGAACATACATCAATTGTGCATTTATATTGTGGAGCTGCAGCTGAAGCTAAAAAGTAAACAAGAGATATCAGTGACATTGAGTTGTCCTGCCGTGAGGAATAAAAAAACAAAAACAGGCAAGAGAATAGAAGTCATGGAAGGTTTATATTAGAGAATTTAAAATTGACCTGCACAAAGAAAGAAGTGAACAGCAGCAAACCAGCGGCACATGGTAAATAATCTCCTTTGTTTGCAGAACGCAGAAAATATTTTTCGTATTGTGCATTTTTTTGTCTATTGTAATGTGCACTGTCCTCAATTCTGTATATTTATATTGTGTATTCAATACTCTAGAACTAGATATATATATTTCATTGTTGATATGTATTTATTTACAGTTACTATTCTATTGTATTTTACTGATAATTCTAGTGGAAAGCCTTGTCTACATGCTGCTGATTAAAAAGAATACCAAACTGGGATCAATAAAGTATATCTAATATAATATAATCTTCCGAAAAAACCTAACATAGTCATCATTTTCAAACTTCATCTTACGTGAATAAAAATAAAAAATAAAAAGATTTTTTTTTAGATTGAAAAAGGACTAAAAATGGACCTTGTGGTGAAATTGTTTTACTGCCTGCAGAATTAAAGCTCCCATGTCATGCTTTTCCGGTTATTACCCGTCCCCTTGTGTGTTATGAAGGTTTTTATGCATGTAAACGGTGTGCAGAGTCAAAACCCTCAAAGTACACCCTGTAGCGAGTAAAACTCTAACACAGAAAATACCTCCCCAAAACGCCTCGTTGGAGATACGTCACTGCCCATTTGAGTCTTCCATTTAGTTCCGGGTACCGCCTGATGTCATGCGGTACCCGGAACGAAATGGACCAATCCCGAAGAGCTATGGCCACACCAGCAGCGGCGTGTTCCTCCTCCAGAGGTTCGAAGAACCGGCATTTCACAGACGAAAGCTTCCAAAACATTGCCCAGTTTGAGGCCGGATATGCACAGCTTGTTTGGACCGTTTGGAGCAGGGGAAGATCTGGGTATACAACCTGTAAGTTTGCATTGTTATTTGTGTATTTATCAAACAAGACTGTTTAAATGTGTAAACTGTGTTGGACTGCTAAGCCATTGACACAGTGCTAACTGTGCTAACTAAGTTGCTAGAGTTTCCATATATCAACTCTAATATCAGCAGATGGCCTTGCATACATGTATCTCATAGCAGGAGAATGTCTGCATTCACACACAAAATACCTATTGACAGTATACTCCGGGTGATTTGCCGGTCAGTCGCGAAACGTAATTACATTATAGCTGGCGTAGCGATCTAACACACGGAGCTAGAGCTAGTTTTGGTCAGAAAAACATTTTTGTGATGCTACGTTGCTAGCGTTTAAATATATCAACTACAATGTCAGCAGATGGCCTTACATGTTTGTCATGGCAGGAGAATGTCTGCAGTCACACACACGGAATACTCATACAGTATACTGTACTGTGATTTACCGTACATTGTGACCGTACATATACTGCATGTAGCTAACGAGGCTAGCTGTATGCTAGCGCAAAACAATGTATTCATGCAAGTTACATTGTATGACCGAACGTAGCAGAATACCCGTATACGATTGCAATTATAAACACGTTATTGCTAGCCTAATATGAACCACTAGCTTTTGTTCATAGTAGTTTTATTACACTGCATTATAGTTGCCTTTCCTCCAAGCTAACGTTCATATCGTGTTAGCTACCAAGGTAAACAAAGCTAGGTTAGCATATTAGCAGGCAAGCTGTTCATTACACAACTACTACTAACGAGTCTAAAACAACTAAGTTTCTCTAATATTTTGTGATTTGCATTTGATTTCGTCCAGCCAGATCCTGGCGGACAATCCATGACGGGGAAGGGATTCTACTACTACTGAGGGTGCTAAAAGGCACCGCACCGACTGTGCGCAGGCAAGATGCGAGGAGGAGGAATGGATGATATACCGTGTATATATATGTATATTTATGTTCATTTTGTACATTTCTAAAAATAAAGTTTAATGGAAATACTTAGTAGGCCTATCCTTTCTTCCCTGAATTCATATATAGCAAACCATGATTTGATTTCTCATCAAACAGTAGTAGTTTATAACGGGTAAAAATAACTTACTCTTTGTTATGAGAGTAGCTCGTAATCCACAACGGAAAGACAAGGAGACATACACGAGTTTACAAAACCACGGCACATTTATTGTGGTAAATGCAGAGACAGGTGGTTGAGAGGATCGCAGAGTTAGTCTTCCTGCAGCCGCTTTGGAGAGAGACTGTGTCCGGAGGTGTCCGTGATCGTGCTGATTAGCCTCTTCAGCTCCACCCCATCGTAAGACAAAGGCCCTGGGGCCGTCACACTCTTCTATAACAACAGTTAAAAATATATATGTATATAAAATATACCGCTGTACCGACGCCATGATAAGACTGATGTTACGCTGAGAGCAGCCGGGAAAAGCACTGACATGGGCGCAGCCTCTCTGGTGGTTGACTAATCAGAACGAGTGGCCGAGCTGACCAATCGGAGCACACTAGGCTCACAGGGAGGGGGGGGCAAGAGCTCCAACGAGTCGTTTAGTGGAGAAAGTGAATACTGCTGAATACACATGCTTGACAGAGATGCTGTATGCGAAACCAATGTGAGTTTGGAAAATTGCACAGTATAAATCTATTTTAGTATACCTCAACAATGTAATTATGATCAGTGGAAATGGCCATGACATGGGCCCTTTAAACTAAATGTTTTATTTCCGCTTGAGCAAAGTTGACTTTTAATCTTGTTCTATAGGTAACTACACATCTGAGTTGACCAATATGACATGTGGGGTTCCTCAAGGCTCCATCCTGGGGCCTATTCTCTTTAACATCTACATGCTACCACTGGCTCAGATAATGACGAAAAATAAAACAAGTTACCATAGCTATGCAGACGACACACACATTTACATAACCATATTATCAGGAGAAAATGCACTGAACAAATCAATGACTGGATGTGTCAGAACTTTCTTAAATTAAACATAGATACAACTGAGGTCATTGTTTCTGGAAACAAGGAGGAACAATTAAAAGTCAGCGCTGAGCTTGAGTCTGCGTCTGCAATGTTTTAAACAACAGAAAAAGCCAGAAATCTAGGTGTAGTCATGGACTCTGACCTGAATTTCAATAGTCACATTAAAACAATTACTAAGTCACCCTACTATCACATTAAGACAAATATAGGACTAAAGGACTAATGTCACAGCAGGATTTAGATAAACTTGTCCATGCTTTTATCTTCAGTAGACTCGACTACTGTAATGGTGTCTTCACAGGTCTCACTAAAACATCTATTAGTGTGGGTGAGGAACTCACTCTGGAGGGAACTTTGGGATTTAGCCTTTGCAGACCATTTACATGCAAAACAAACCCTGTATAAGACACTACAGGAAAGGGTAAACACAAAAAAAAACATAATGGAGCCCCTTTATGAATGCAGAATATTGAACAAAAACAATATTTCTGTTCGCAAAACTTTCCTACAACAACAACCATCCTCAGACTTTAGTAGCAGCCTGTTTGTTTTTGTTATTGCCAGTGTATTATCTTGTTTACTGTATGTGACTGGATTTGGTAAACACAAGTGACGAGACTTTGTTAAACGACATAAAATACTTCAGTAAATAACCCACTCATGAATGGCTGAAGCTTCTATGTGTCATTAAAAACATCGGTTGCTAACAAGTGACTAAACAAATTGCTAAACGCCATCACGAGTCCTCCTTTAGCTTAGCGGTGGTGACGTGAAGTCATGTGAATGTGGTGTAGTTTGTTTATAGCCTAACGTTAGCGTTGCATTTATGCTGATTTGCCAAAGTGGTGTTAATATGTAGATTTTCCTGCTGAACAAAAAGTGTAAGTATCATAAACCTGTGTTGGCCACAAAGTTTATTTTCTGCAATATTCCGAAAACCAAAGGGGAAATCCCATTGCTATGTAATGGAAATTATGATTATCAGACCATTTAATGCTATGATGTTATTTAACATATAAATAATACAATTCTGTCAGCCTTACATGTCAAGAGACAGTAGATCTCAGCACTCAGGAAGGTGTGACCACACAGTGGGGGATCAGTGATCTGGTCATGGGTCTCTTGTACTCTGATAGAGTCATGGCTCAGTTATCTCATGACTAAGCATGTATTCATTGTAACTGTAGAAAAGCTCTCTCTTCAGTTTGAGTAGTTGCACTCGGCTGTGGAGACATTGCTCTTCATGTTGTTTGCCTCTTTTGCAAAAGATTAAAGTACCAGAAAGACATCTCTTTGACTAGTTAATATAAGAATTTTCACCACATTTGTCGAGGGAGCCCTTGCAATGCTAATTTCCGGGTCGGTCTACAAAAAAACGTCATCCCTAAAGTTCTCTTTAACAAAAGTGAAAACCCGAAAGAATGTGTAACAAAAATTCAACTTTGGCACCACATGGAGGTATTTTCGGAATAGGACAGAGAATCTGAAATGACTAGCCAGACACAAAAATAACACTTTCAAGCTTTATATTTTCGTCAGTAAAAATCAACCATTGAATTCATTTTCCTTGCATGTCCAGCTAATGCAGATGAATTTGTGTGTGTTGCTCTATTTTACAGTGATGTTAAAGAGCAGTGATATCTCAGGGGAACACGTCAGTGGGCAGCTCGAAGTCTTTGAAGGTGTAGAAGGAGATGTCTCCGCAGTCCACCACAGCAAACACCACCAGGACGTCTCCACTCTGGAAGGCCAGCTGCTTGATGGCTCGCAGGTCGGGCACAGGGCCGTCGAAGCTGAGACACAACAATGAGAGACTCAAATGATTTTGTTAAAGACACAGGCCGACGTACTATATCCAAATACAGCTGTGTGCTGTCAGCGCCCTTCTCTTATTCTCTTTCGATAAATGATGATTTAGATACTCAGTTGGTAAAGATCACAGTCTCCTAGTATAATTGATACATTGCAAACAACAAACATCTGATTTAAAATAGCAAAAGTACAGCTAGTTAATGTTAGCAGTAAGCTGTTAGCAGTCATTATTACACAACTTAGTTGAATGCTTGATCTGATTGATTACAAATAAACTATTAATTTTATATTTATGTAGAGCAGGGGTTTTCAAAGTGTGGGAAGGTGAGCCTCCCCTCAGAGAACATAAGAACAGCCGCGCCCCCCCTCCCAATTATTATTGCTATTATTATTATTTAGTGGGAATGCTGATACAGCATTCCAACTATATGTTATGCTACGGACAAAATTCTTATTATTATTCCATCCAATTATTTTGGCCCTCTTCTCCTCCCACATTCAACATCGCAGAAACTCCGTTCAAACATCAAAACGTTCAGCTCGGTCGGGAATCGCAGGCTATTACTTTTATCATTCATAACTTTCATAATTCCAGAGATACATCCCATAATTCATCCAATTTTTAACATGGAAGTCAATGGAGACATTCTTCAGACTTCAACAAATCTTCATGCGACTTCAACTGCTAACTGTTCATTCATACTTTCACTCAGAAACCTCATTCCAACTTTAAAATGTTACACATCTTTCTGACATTATTCGTGTAACACAACTTTTAAATCTGATTCTTACTTTTAGAGATATTAAACATTGTTCAAACCTTGTTAAAGAGGTTTTCTTCAGATTTTAACATTAACTAGAGTGCGTGATGTCACAGCTAGAGTGTGGGAATTCTTGAAATGTGCCTTCATATTATTTTTTTTAAACTGCCATAATTCCCAAACCCTACATTCTTGAGACATAATTTTTCATGACAAACGTAGGAAAACATCTCGTAGCTTGAAAAATGACAAATAATTAAGCAAAAATAATTAAACAAAATGCCTCTTGAGGGCATGAAGTGACAAAAACGTTCAACATGTCTCCATTAAAGCCCATTGTAATTTCAGGCAGATATTTCCTCACAGCAGCAGCCGCACACCTTTAGTTAAACTGCCAAAAAAGTACACAAAATTGAAATTTCACAGATATCTGTTATCGTTCTTCCACAAAACGTTCACATGTAAGAGGTTTATCTCACCTGTGTAATGGAACACGATGATGTCATCACTCCAACTGACAGCAGTCAGTTCTAACTGTTCATTCACATGTAAGAGGTTCATCTCTCATTCAGAACAATGCAAACCTTTGATCTCTACAGAGCTCGTTAGCTCAACTATAAACACCTGTGTAATGGAACACGATGATGTCATCACTCCAACTGACAGCAGTCAGTTCTAACTGTTCATTTCATACACACTGTGGGTGTTTCTCAATCGCGAGTACGCTTGCTTGGTAGCACATGTCTCTTGCTTCAGAAGCGAGGCAAGAATACTTCCTGCCATTCGGAAAACAAAGAGTGGAACAGGCTAGCAAGTGTGCAGGTGTGCGTCATATGAGAAGCCCCGCCTTACATCTTCCGCCACAGATTTGGGGAAATTGGTCCGTGCGCAAAGCATTGTGGAGATTTTAAGACCGCGGAGTCTACTCATGTGCAGCCTCGATATTTCTCCAAACGGAGTACGCCGGGCTCGGTAGATTTCCAAGTATGCTGGAGATTGGAACAGTACTTCGGCGGCACTCGATGACGTAGTATGCTTGAAATAGTGGCTCTGAAGCAGCTTTACTCGCGATTGAGAAACACCCACTCTCTCTCTCTCTACCACACACAGACACACACACACACTCTCTCTCTCTCTCTCTCTCTCTCTCTCTCACACACAATGTTCCAAACGGCCCAAAACTTCACAGGTTTGGTAACGATGCAGCCATCAACGCATCTAACCGTATTATGGGGTGTCATCAAATGCCGTTGCCATGGCGACAGACCACTCGCCATGAAGCACGATGTCGCTGTAAGTCCAATGGACAAGGTCCGATCGTCCCTCAAACTTCGCTTGTATATCACCGGTCCAGCCCTCAACAGCTCTACGTCAATTATGGGGTTTCTTCAAATGCCGTTGCCATGGTAACACAATGCTCGCCATGAAACACGGTTTTCTCATAACTTCAGTGAAAATGCTCCAAACGGCCCAAAACTTCACAGGTTTGGTAACGATGCAGCCATCAACTCATCTAACCGTATTATGGGTTGTCATCAAATGCCGTTGGCATGGCGACAGATCATTCGCCATCAAGTTAGTTCAAAAGTTTGCAGTTCAAATATTCTGCTGCTTTTCCAAGCCTTTTTACTTTCTTTTCTTCTCTCATCACACATTCAAGCCCCCAGTGTTCATGTATCATTTCAATCTAAATTCTTCACTTTCTTCTTACACATTACATTTCAGCATAGCAGTTTAGCGTCAGATTTTCAGCATAAAGCATTCCCACTAGCAATTTCTTCAGGAATCCTCTAGTTATTATTATTATTGTTGCTATAATGCAGGAGTATTCAATTGCATTTCAAAGAGGTCCAGTAAGAGAAAATGTCATTAAATGCTCTGTTTTCGCTGTCTACCTTCTGAAATTACTCCGACTGTTTCTCTCCTCTTGTCTCGTCTCTGTGTGTGTTTGAATCTATCGTGCTGACTCACTGACTGCACCGATTTGATTGGCTGAGTAGCGTCACCTCCTTAAAACATTAAACAATAACTTTTTTAAACCTTTGTATCTTTATGTTTTAAACATATTGTATAAAACTCCCCCACTACTTGGACTATTCCTTGCACCCCTCTAGAATAAGCCCGAATGGTCTCAACCATATTGCATCAGTAACGTGCACTTGTTAGAACAAGATCGCAAGGACACTGGTAGCGATCGGACAATTGAGTGTTGTTCAGTTTGTGTGTTGTGGAACATGCGTGTCCGTGCATGAAAATATACCACACACCCAATTACAATTGCATGTTCAACTCACTACCCTGGAAGTTCATAAAGTTGTTAAAGTTGGAACAGCCTGTGGACAGCCGTTCTTCCTTGCATGTCAGTCGCCGACACCTTCTTACAGAGGACAGGCAAATCTAGCTGCAGCACGACCCGTATATTTTCGCACGGTGTTCTCAACACATATTTTCTTTTAACATTTTTAACATTTTCAACATCGTGGATATATATATGCTTATATGCTCCCGGCAACACTCTGAACGTCAACTTTGCCTCCTTATTACACTCACCCCTACTTTAGTGGGAACAATGAGTCTGCGTCTTTGATGCTCACAGGAATAAACGCAGATCATCCTCTGGCTGCAGCCTTGACCGGTACTTGCCTTTGATCAAAGTCAATGCGGAAAACCCCCACTCACACAGGTAGGTGGAGGTGAAGGGAATGAGCACTTTTACAGCCTTTTTGGCGAGGTGGGGGAACTCGGTCTCCACAGACAGCCAAAAGTGGGCAAGTGTCACTTTATTCATCTTTTTCTCGTTCTTTTTTTCTCCCCTGAAGCTCTCTGGCGCCCCCCAGGGGAGGCGCGCCTCACACTTTGAAAACCGCTGATGTTGAGCACTAAACTTTGGATTCATGAATCATGAATAAACACTAATGGGAACAGCAGAAGAAGCCGTTGGTACTCAGTGAAACAGAAGCAGGAAGCAATGTGATCATTTAAAAAATCTATAAAATCATCAAGGCATTTGTTTATTTAGTAATTCATTAATGAAAAAATAATACCTGGCAGAGTATTAACGATAGGTATTAACGATAGGTTACGTATTGTAACCCTAGTTCTATAAGCACAGGCGGAGCCCTCTACCTAGGGGCCCTGTCTTTCCTATGCTGCTCGCTGAAGAGGGTGTAGGATGACAGTCAGGAGGCGTAGCCGCCTTATATACTGTGGGCCTGCGCACGCATTCAGGTAGGCTCGCCCCGATTGGCCGGCTACGTTTATACAACTTCAGTGTGTGAACGCTCGCGTATCATTGTTGAGAGTAGTACCCATAGAGTCTAGTAGAGGGCTCCGCCTCAGCTTATAGAACTAGGGTTACAATACGTTACCTATCGTTTTGTAAAATAGATATCAGAAAGGTAATATGACCTGCTACACTTCCTAACAAAAAACAATATGCAATTGAAATAAAGTATGTTTATTGGACTTTTTGTCCCGTTTTTTTCTAACCGTGGTATTGAACATGGAGAATTGTAGGAGGAGGTAGGAGGTGGAAATCACTGTTATTGGTGTCGATGTCAGGTATTGTGACTGAGCTTTAGGACACAAAAGGGCCTATATCTTCAGCCCTATACAACTTATTTAATTTGAGTCACAGGTCTGTTGTTTCCCGTCAGCCCATCTTGTGTAAACACGAGCAGTTGTTGTGATTGCTTACCTGCACACACACATCCGTGTGTAAGGTTTCCCCGGGTTGCTCTTCTTGAAGTCAGCCACCGTGTCAGGCTGATAAACATTGAAACTAATCCTCCACTCGTCTGATGCTTGTAACCTGAGCGGACAAACACAAAGTCATCGCCTGAATGATGCCCTCTTCATCACAGAACAATACACAAACATCATTTTTCAAGAGCACTACAAGGCCAGTGACAAACGCAGGAGCCGCAGCATCTCGCTCCTTTGTCTCTCTGTCTTTATGTGTTTGTAAACCATTATTTGTGATAGCATAGAGAGGAGTTGAAGGTACATCAAGTCCAGTCTTTATCTTTCTCAGGTGAATGTGTTCTGACCCCAATGAACAATAAAGTCACTAATTGAATGCCAATCTGCACTAAATGTTTGCTCCATGAGTACACACAGCAGGTAGCTCATTAGGGTTTACTTACTAAGGGTTTCTGCATTTTAAATACCACATAGAACGGAACTCAACAACTTTTTTGATCAAGTGTTATATAAATAACATTTGATTTGATTTGATGAATTATTTATCAAGTGCAAGATTTTTTAGGGGATGTAAATTAATAATAATAGCTTGGATTTATTTCATGAGACTCAAGATCGCTTTACAGAGAAGAACAGGAGTAGAAACAAACATAACAAAAACAAAAGGCAGTCAGACAAACAGTCAGACAGACAAAACAACTAGGGATGCTCCGACCGATCGGTGCTCTCTAAAAATGCTGATCGCGAGAGCCGATCGCATGACGTAAAATGATGACGTAAAATACATGACACTTTTCTCTGTGCGCGGCAAAACAAGCTCGCCAAAATGGCTTCACCGATCTGGCAGTATTTTAAGGTGTCCGAAAATGACAATAAAATAGCGGTATGCAACGTGTGTGAAGCAGAAATCCTGCAGCTCCACCCGCTGTGACGGACCGGTGAGCGGAGCGAAACACACACTAAGAGTTAGACCTAACACACTTAGCTATTTTATCTACCTCTGGAACTAGCTAAACTAGTTATAAATATGTTTATTCTTCACTGTCGGGTCACTCATTACTGGATCAGTGAGCTGCATGAGATACTGACGGGCTGTCAGGAGAGAGAGAGAGGGGGAGAGGGGGAGAGAGGAAAAGAGAGCGCTTCCGCTAATTTCTCCCGTGTTATTATCCAAAGTTAATGTAAACTTGAATAATGTACTTCATTTGAATGTAATAATTATGTTGGTTGTTGTTTGTGGAAGCACCAGTGAATGAGCCCCATTAACTGAGTTTTAAACATCACTTTAAATGGAAGATCCCCATAGGCCCCGCCCACTCGATCGGATCGGCGATCGGTATCGGCCGATACTGATTCCGGCGATCGGCCCCAAAATTGGCGATCGGAGCATCCCTAAAAACAACAAATAGATTAGGGGCCGAAGGCCTTGGCAAACAGATGGGACTTGAGGGCCCTTTTGAAGGCGTCAAGCGTGGGGATGTTGCGGATCTCCGCAGGGAGAGCGTTCCAGAGGGTGGGACTGGCCATCGGGACGAATCCCGATGGGCCGGTACTGAAGTGGGCCGGTCGGACGATGTGGGGCGGTCGGATAAGTCACTAGCACCCCCCCGTTGGCAATTTACTAGCGGTATTTACTAGCGGTATTTACTAGCGGTATTTACGAGCGGTATTTACGAGCGGTATTTACGAGCGGTATTTACGAGCGGTATTTACGAGCGGTATTTACTAGCGGTATTTACTAGCGGTATTTACTAGCGGTATTTACTAGCGGTACCGAAGTGGGCCGGTCGAGAGTCCCGGGCTGATTTTTTGTCCCAGTCCGCCCCTGGGGCTGCCACACTGAAGGCTCTGTCCCCGAAGGTTTGCAGGTTGGTGCAGGGGGTGGTAAGCAGGCCAGAGTCTGAAGACCCCAGGTAAGTATAAGTACTGGGGGGCATGGGCATGGAGGGACTTGTAGGTGAGGAGGAGGACTTTGTAAGTTATGCAGGACTTGACCGGCAGCCAGTGGAGGTGGATGAGGGTGGGGGTGATGTGCTGCCACGGCTTTGTATGTGTGAGTACCCGAGCAGCACATTTTTGTCAGTAAGTCTCAGCTGAATGTAAATATAATTCCTAGTTTACATAAAAGAGCCGGCCAGCTAACCAATCAGAGCAGACTGGGCTCTGGTTTCAGACAGAGGGTGAAAAGAGGTGCTGCAGCACAAGCAGTATGAGAAAAACAAAGACCTTTTTGAACATTAAAGCATGGAGACATGTCACAGTAGACACAAAATACTAATATGAACCTGAAGATAAGCATCATTTGTCTTCTTTGAGTAATTTAGTTTTTATTATGGCAGGGCTGTTTTCCAGTTTATTCGCTCCTCATTAGATAAGGAAAATAATTGTCACTATCAGTGTGATAACAGGAAAGAGAAACAATGCCTACCTGGACGCTCCCTCAAGCAAATGTGTAGATTTAATCACACTGATTTTATCTAGCAGCTCCCCTGAAAGAGAAAATAAAACAAAGTTTACATCAAGAATTCAAGGTAATATGGGATGAGTATTCGACATACAAATGATCAATTTGTGGGTTTCTTTCGGAATTCATTTATAGACTAGATCCATGTGATCTCACCAGTGGGGATTGGTTGTCTCGGGTCATGTAAAGGAGTGACCTCCCCGTCCCACAGGTGTGTCGCTCGGCCTTTACTCCTCCTCCCCTGCCGCCTCTCCATCAGCTGCCGATACTCCGCCCAGTTACTGCAGCGCCTGACCTAAAGGAACATATTGATTTTCCAAATGAAGATTCCAACTCAATTTGTGTTGAACAGTTGCATTTCGGAAATCATGTTACATAGAGGTTCATACAGATTAAAGAGGCCGTATTATGCTTTTCCCCTTCCTGTAGTGTTATATAGGTTTTTGTGCATGTAAATGGTCTGGTAAAGGCTGAAATCCCAAAGTTTCTCTCCCCCCCACTTTTCTTCAACAGCATAGAGACATCACTATGTAACATGTAACATGTGCTTTCATTGGCTTAATTTCATTTAATTTAAGACTTTTGACAATCCATGGGAACGCTGTCTAACTACAAACCTCTCTGTCCTTGTCCGAGCGATGCCTTCGCTTCTCCTCTTCTCTCATCTGCTCCTTCGAGGACATCTTGACATCCCGCAGGTTGATCCTGGTCCTCCAGGGGTCGACGTCACAGACCCCCACTGCCAGAGCCCCAGGGAGCAGAGAGGGGTCAGGTGATACCAGGCAGCTGGAGAGGCGCTCCCTGCTGGAGCCCAGGTCAGGGAAGGAGATGGAGCTGAAGTCCCAGCGTGAGGCAGCAGAGGCGGGCTGGTGATCAGATCGCTCCCCGACATCATCCTCCATCCACCAGGTCCTGACCCCGCCCTCGTTTCCTGGACTTGCAGTGGCGGTCTGGGTGCTTGAAGTCTCTGGAGAAATAGTCAGGTGGGACTCTGGACGTTTTTTATCCTCCTGACCTTCTTGGCCGCATGTATCCTCCTCCATTCTGTCAGCTGTGGATTCTTCTTGTGCTTCAGTGTGACTGCAGCATTAAAAAAAATATGCCATAGCTTTGTTAAAATTGGAATTAACGATATTACTATTAAAGCACACTTAGACCCTAGCCACACGGAGACGGTAACGAAAACGAACCGAATTCGATATCAAAAAAGTCTTCCGTCCACACGCAATCGGCACCAGAAACGTGTCCGTCCACACGAGACCGCTCGACCAGCTGGAGACACTGTAGTACTTATGTCGGGCCTGTAAGTGGCGCTGTACTTCCGCCACAAAAAACACCAAAAGCAGCGAATAAGCCTTTCTGTTTATTCTCCGCGGTGGATTTAGCAGCAGAGGTGGGGAGAGGCAGGGGCCAGGGCTCTGGCTCTTTTTCTCCCTCCCCGAGGCAAGCGTGTGCTCCTGCTGTAAATCTCCCCGGTAGTCCACCAGCAGATGAAAAACACCCACCTCTCCGCCTCTTCCAAGGGACGAGGGAACCATGCGGCAGAGTTTCCGTTAGAATTTTTTTCCGCCGGTCAACATGTCCGTTAAAGTTTAAATCTTCCGGACAAAATTATAAAAGTGCCGGTCAAAAAAAGGCACCAATGAAAACAAATAATTATAATTCAAACTTTGTTCTATTGGTATTCTGTTTAAACTGACTTTTTTCAATATCACAAAAACAATGTTATGACATTATTACATGGCTTGGTTGAATGCTCGATTCTGGTTGGTCAATTTGGACATTCAAGAGGTTGATCATTTTCGCTAACAGTCTGTTGCTATCAAGAATAGACTGTTGCTAAGGAGGATCAAGGGACTATGTGTAGTCATATCAATCTGCACAATAGCGCAAGATTAGAGAAGGAAAGAGGTTAAAAGACAAAACGCTAAATTACAACAAATTGCTAGTTGAATTAAAGAAATTAATTTCAAATTATTTGGTAGAATACATCAAACGTTGAATTAAACACAAAAGAGACTAGAGTTATAGTTATATTTTTAAGTGCAGTTTTCCTCCCTGGGTGCAATATCCCAAGTTCAGTGATGATAAAAAAAACGATAAATATTGTGAAGCGATACCTGGATGTTGCGGTGGGGCTGGCGCTGCGCTTTCTCTTCAGCTGTTTCCCTGCTCTGTCACGTGACTGAGGAAGGTTCAGCTGCTTCGCATAGGACGATGTCTCAGAACTGTAACACACACACACACACACACACACACACACACACACACACACACACACACACACACACACACACACACACACACACACACACACACACACACACACACACACACACACACACACACACACACACACACACACACACACACACACACACACACACACACACACACACACACACACACACACACACACACACACACACACACACACACACACACACACACCACACACACACACACACACACACACACACACACACAACACACACACACACACACACACACACACACACACCACACACACACACACACACACACACACACTACACAACACACACACACAACACACCACACACAGACAATAGAGTAATTGAAGACTGTTTTAATAAGCCGATTTCCTTTGTTTTTGATCTGTTTTGATCTTGTGTTTTCTGTGATATTTCCTGTTTTGATCTAATTGTGTAACTTTGTTCTTGTTGTGCAAGTACTTTTACATTTGTTTGCCACTCGACATTTCTGAACATTAAGGCAAACTCAGTATACTTTTTCAAACTAGAATACATAACAAATAAATGTTCTGGTGTTCTGAAAATTTTAAATATGGGTTTATATAATGATTTCCTATTTTTTTGTCGGCACAAACGTGACTGACCAACCAACCAATTATCTTATTTTTCAAAGCCTGACTTTATTTATATTTGTATTGTTATTATATGCACAGGCAATACAAATGGAAGTGAAAGCAACGAGAATAATGCAGTAGATTGGTACATTTTAAAAGTCAGGAATAATCCTTTTAAATCAAATTAGTTAGAATATCTTGTACCAAAGACATTGTCGCTTACAACAATTGTCAGAGCCAGTTCAATTAATATTGTCACCTATTCGTGACTTGTGTATTCAAGGGGCTATAAAAGACTACAATACCCACGGCACCAGCATTTAAGATACAGATATCGGAACCTGTGTGGAAGATGCCGTTGAAACACAGTTTAAAGCGTTACACTTCGTACAACATTATATAGTTTGTTTATCTTTCATTTTTTGCCTGTTTTGTTGGCAACTGTCTTAAAGGCCTATTTTTATTGTGGAATGTGTGACGGAATTATTTTATTTTGATTAACCGCAAGTCTGTTTGAAATGCATCTAAGAAGTAGGAAAGAAGCCGCAACAGCAGTTAAAAAAAAGGATATAACAAACTTTATACAACCAGAGATGGAAAGGTAAAAGGTAATACATGAAATAAAATAGCTTGTAGCAGTTTGGCTTCACGTAGTGGGATACATGTTACTGTAAAAAATATTTAAAGTTATTTCAATTCAATATCTTAACAAATTTGGTTTGCAAAGGATTGACAAAGGGCATACATTTTCCCCTTCCTGTGTCAATGAGGATTCAGTTACCTGGGATGGAACCTGTGCACCAAATAGCCAAGCCTCTTCAAATGCCCAAACACCTAAGAGATATAAAAAAAAAAACACTTTGTTAGACGCAGTTCAGGCCTCCTTCAGAATATCTGTCGGGATGTTTTCTCTTACCTGATATTCCTGGAGCCTCACTGTGCTTGAGGACAGAAACTTCTCATACCCGTCCTGAATGGACAGTGGCAGCTCCTGGTAGAACACCTGCACATTCCCCTGTTCACACAGTCACTCAGAGTAATCAGTTATCCATATTTTACAGATCACAATAGGGTGGGGCGATTGGAGAAATATAACTGCCACTCACACACTCCATCAGGTAGAGAGCCTCTTCAGGGAAGAGAAACTGCTTGCCGCCAGCAGAAAATCCCATCGTCTGCCAAAACTTCCCCTATGTAAAAAACAAGTGTTTTCAGACTCAGTCAAAATAAAATGTAACGGGGTGTGAGTATATTGTATGTACACTGAGGAATACTCACAGCTGGAGACTGAAGCTCCACGATCTTCTCACTTGGAATCCATGTGGCCTTCACTAGGTTTCCCCTAAATTTAAAACAATTATTTTCAATGCAGCATCTGAAGCTCAACCCACATACTTTACAATTTTGGCAAAGTATATAGTAAAATATTTTAAAAAGAAAGTGATTTTCTAGCCACCAGGGATGACCTCATTTATAACCTGGAAGTTAAAATGCCCCTTGTTGCCAAGTCAAAACGCAATAGGATTTGTTTCATTGGATTTTGAGTTGATGCAGAAAATAAGCTCAATTGAAGAGCACTTCCAATCATTTTCAAGGCAAAAATGCAATTGCCAAAATTAAACCTGGGCTATACAATGTCTATGCCTGCTTGCATGAATTCAACAGCAACAACTGGTAGTTTATTTTAACATTACTTGTATTTTTCTTTGCCAGTAGGAGGAAATAAGCAGATTGCAAACATCACACTGGACAAATAGAGAGCTTCTCTCTTCTAGTATGTCTACCAAGAGAAACTACATTAGTTACTTTTTATAGAGCTGAAACCACAATCAAATTTTATTATTTTGTGTTTGATATGTTTTTCACAATCAATGACAGCAGATTTTGTCGGTGTTACTCCTGGTTTGTTGGACGGATGCCATGCCTACTCACAGTTTCTCCACTCGCTCCTCGGATATGAGGCTCCAGTGCTCATTGAGACTCTGCTCAAGCCGCTGTCTTTGCTCGTCTGAGTCATCAGGGAAGAAGTCTTTCTGTCCTCTCACCGGGATCTTGTGGCTCCTGGACCGGGCTGCAAACAGTTGAGATGGACTGGAATTAAAAAAAAAAAAACACGTTCACGTTCTGGCATTTTGATTTGTCTATCAATAGATAAAGGCAAGAGAAAAGAAGCAATACAATCCATTAAAAGTGATGTGTCAGACTTATATGGGTTATTATCACAATGCTGCATTTATTTAGAATCACTGGGTCACATGTCATGGAAGATATGGTCATGTATGTCATGTGATTTTCAAAAAATAAACCTCAGAATGCTCTTAACAATATTCATATATCATAAAAAGAAAATACGAAATATATATGGTTTATATGATGTTTCGCCACCTCTACACTAATGTATCGCTTCACGGGTTTTTAAAAGTCACGTCAACTAAGGTTTCCCTGGAACCACTAACTAGCTAACTGAGAGTTAAAATAACCGTATGACCATGTGAACGGGGCAACTCTTAAGCCCCTACAATAAACTATGACAAAACAATTTTTGACTAAATATTACGAAAGTTATTACTCAACCGCCAACAAATTCACTACTATTTCGCATGACCGATAATAACATACCTTAGTACTTCATTGTAAAACTTTAAGTCAGTGTCTGTCTTGTTTTGGTCGGCCATGTTTACCAGTAACAGCCCGCTGCTAGTGATGGTCCCCTGGTCCTAACGCCCGTTAAATTCAGTAATCGAAAGAAATCACACATACGTTTGGGGAAATAAAGAGGACCAGTGATGCCAGAATAAGGCTCCACGTTTTGCTTGAGTAAAAGTAGTAATATAAAATGCAAATGCAAAACTAAAAGTACTTATGCAGAATAATATATATCATATCACTGGATTATAATAGTGATGCATTCATGTTTTCAAAAGTCAAAAGTTCAGCATTTGCTTTCAGAATGTGGTAAAGTAGAACTGGAAAGAAAATGCTTGTTCGACACAAAATTCCTGCAGTTCTGGCATTCACTGTTCATGTTAATTGTACAGTTAATCAGTTGCCATAGCCGCTTTCACACCAAGTACTTTGCCGTACTCAGTGCCCCGGCATTTATTACCCCAGGGCACTTAGTACAGATCGCGTTCACACCGGTGTCAGTACCATATGTGTTCGCCCTACCATATGTGTTCGGGGTCCGTCGCTTACCAATGACGTCACCCATTGTGATTGGCTGTACGGAATCGTAGTAATCAGCAGCGAACCGCTTCAACACGTGTATTTCAGTGTATTCACGGCATTCATTTTGTTATTCTACAGTATTATTGTTTTATAGTTATTTGATAATGTAACCCAATTTGTGTTCTTTGAAATTGAAAAGGATATCGCATTGTGTTTGTTACATTCGTTGCAGTTGTATAGGCTATGTGTTAAGTGTAATTTGGCATGTCCTATTTATGGACATGCTTTTATTTTGAAGGAGAGTTAGCGCAGTTGACAGGAAGTTGTTGTTGCTTTGGAAACAACGTGACAGAGATTAACGGAGAAAAGTAATATCTACATATAAAGACGGAGAAAGTAAACGATAACGTTTATGGTTAAGTGTTAGCACCCCCCGAAGAGGCACAAGCTCTTACGTTGATATTGGAGATTTCAATAAATTCAATTTGAAAAAAAAACGGGGAAAAAAAAACAAAAACGAATATCTGAATAACGAAATTGAAACCCGAATAGTACTCCAACGAACGAATATTCGGATATTTTGGTACAGTAGGGCTGTACCCGAATAATATAATAAAGTTATAGTAAATAATAACAAATTCCAGTGTTAGAATTCCATAATTCCATATTCATAAATAAAATGATATGCAAATAACATTTTCTTGGCTGTGGACTTGTACTCTACATAATTATGTTGAGCTCATGGTAATCTAATTCAATAAACAATAACTGCAATGAACAGATAGCATTTTCTGACTCGTAAAATGATTGGATATGGTGTAATTTGGCAAATGATTCTGTGTTGAAAAATGTATATCTTTAAAAACTGCGTTGGTGTATTAGGGCGGGCCATACTAATTTTTCTTGTAAATCGATCGAGAGGGGTGTTCAAATAACGTATTTTGGTGTGTAGAACACAAATCTATTTAGATGCTTTTATTTTGAAGTTGTTGCTATGGAAACAACATGACGGAGAAAAAAGTAATATCTTCTACATATAATAACGGACAAAGTAAAGAATGAAGTGTATGTTTAAATGTTAGCACCCCCCGAAGAGACTCAAGCTCTTACGTTGAGTCTGGAGTTTCAATACATTCGGAATTTGACCGTGTAAAATGTCCTCTTGGGTTACCGTACAGCCAATGCGTGACGTCATTGGTAAGCGTAACGGACCCCGAACACATCTGGTAGGCCGAACACATATGGTACCTACACCGGAATAAATTCCCTGAGGGAAGATTACGCAAATGAGCCGCTGACGTCACTTCGTCTTCTTCTGCTTTGGGTTTACTGGCAGGCCGCAAACAACTTCACGGCGTATACTGCCACGGTTAGTGCTAGATCGTATACCTCCTGGGTTTTAGGCGGAAGTGACGTAATCTGCCACCGAGGACAAGAGACGACGCTGGCTGCTGCCGTCTTCACACAAATAAACCCCTTAAAACCTGTATGATTTAGTTTTCACATGTTTATTGAAATGAATTCGTCCATCTCTTTATATTATAGTATTAAATGTATTATTTTCGGTTGTGTATTTGTGTTTTGAAGGTTTTTTTTGGATGTTGCGATTTAATTTCTCCAAGAGAGACAAAAAATCACTAAAAGATCTGGTGGATATCTGACCAGTATTTCATCATGGAAGTTAAATCACAATCATTTCATTATCCTGTGGAGGATAATGTTGTTTTGTGACAGTTGCTCAATTTTAGAACAAACAAAATAACATACTTAATAAATAGCTAAATGTATATATATATATATATATATATATATATATATATATATATATATATATATATATATACACAAGAAGTAAAAGTGTGAATTTCAAGATAAGAAAAATATAATAAAATGATTAATGTAATTATAGGAAATAAAATCAAAAATTGGCAATGCAAAATAAAATAACCATATGTATATAAACATATAAAACAAACAAGAAATGAAAGCAGAAATGTTAAATATGATTTTAAATAACAATATTTATGTTGAAATAAGAAGTGAAAGTAAAAGAGGGCAATACAACAAAGATATAATAAAATACAATTAAAAGATGTACATTAACATAGGAAGTAAGAATACAAATGTGCAATACAAGATAAATACTTAATAAATAGCTAAATGTATATATATACACAAGTAAAAGTGTGAATTTCAAGATAAGAAAAATATAATAAAAAGATTAATGTAACTATAGGAAGTAAAATCAAAAATTGGCAATGCAAAATAAAATAACCATATGTATATAAACATATAAAACAAACAAGAAATGAAAGCAGAAATGTTAAATATGATTTTAAATAACAATATTTATGTTGAAATAAGAAGTGAAAGTAAAAGAGGGCAATACAACAAAGATATAATAAAATACAATTTAAAGATGTACATTAACATAGGAAGTAAGAATACAAATGTGCAATACAAGATAAATAAAAAGACTAACCTTACAGAGTTAAAGTAAAGATGTTGCAATACAAGTTGTAATTAAATAGAATAAAAATATGTATGGATAATTTAATAGGGATTATTTTTTTGTTGAGACATCAGGACCCTTCTCTACTCCCTCCACATTCATGCTGACCCGGAAGTTCAACCTCATAGCTTCCGCAAAGCAGCCTACCCTTTTTGTGAATGGGTGCTTTTGTGGTACGGTTTTCACAGGTAGGTTGGCCATCTCCTTCTTCCTTTTCTTAGGTGTGAACGTCAGAGGAAGGCTCTGATCATGTGGAGTGTGTAGCTTCACATCTTCCAAGATCTCGGTCATTTGGTCAGTTAACGTTTTAAGGTAATCTTCATCTTGCAGATGGTATGTTAAGTCAGTAATCTCACGCAAGAGACTGGCACATTCCCTTCTTTGTTTAACCTTTCTTGGTCTTTTCCTTTCGGGCAAAGCGTTACATGGTGACTGCATTTCCACTGATACCGGTGTGTATGTATGATCTGTGATGTCTGATCTGCCGCTGTCATCCCTCTCACAAGAAGTCTGTCCCAGACATGCATTATCCAGGGAGAAGAGGGGGTTATCCCTGTAATTAGATGCCAGTTTCTCCCAACCCCATTCATGCACATGATTAAAAACAGCACAGAAGTGCTTGCAGGGCAACTTGTGCTTTGCCCAGTCTTTGCAGGTGCACGATGGCATGATGATACTTTCACCAAAGTTGATGTGGTGCTGTGTGCAAGGATGACTTTGGCTTTTGACATGGAACATGCCATTGCCCTTTGCAACAACGTCATTCGCCTCATAAAACTGGGCTTCTGTAAGCCTTGACATCACATGGTCTGCTACACTTCTTGGTCTGTCTTTTAAGAACTTTGGCATGTTCTCATTGTACCTTCTGTAGAATGAGGAGTACTTGACATTGAGTTCAATGTACCTTCAATAAGAGATGAGAACAATATCTTAGAAGTCTCTCTGTGACAGTTTGCTTTCTCTGACATATAGATATGGTATTTGATAATACAATTGTCTCAGAAACATATGCAACAATGAACAACATCAAACAAATATGTTGGAAACAAAGCTATCGAACATTACATTTATATATATATAAAAATGTGTGTGTGTTTGTGTATGTATGTATGTATGTATATATAAATATATATATGTATAATCATAGTAATTCTTTTTTAGCTCACTTCCGATATGTCCTTGGTAGGAAGTCAGTTACCAACACAGTGAGCATTTCACTGAGGCTGCAGTTCTTATAACCTTCAAGATGAGAATGCTTTAGGGTTTCATTTTGTCTTTCCACCCCATTGTTGGTGTAGATGGCCACCTTGAGATCTTCATCCCGAAACACGTGCACCCATCTCTACACAAGACAAAAAAAGACAAAAAAAATTAAAAGGAAGACTCTTCAAATTCAACAAATGATATAATAAATATAATATAAAAGTAAATATAATATTTGAACTTGATACACACCTTAGCCTCTGGGAGCCACTTATTTGAAAACCACGCCCTCACTTTTTCATTGTCCTTCCAGACTTTGGCCTCCTGCAGGTTGCAAAGGCGTGTGCTGAACTCCTCTGGAGTTGAAGCAGCTGCAATGCTTCTCAGAAGCGGTAGGAGACTGTCTTGTGCGTGGCTCACTCCATGATCTTTCTTCCTGCACCATTCAACCCAAGCTTTCTCCCTATGGAAGTCGCAGAGAAGCACCTTGGAACCTGGATAAAATATAAGAGATATATTACCTGCACCATGTTGTCATTTTATTTTGTCGCGTTGCTATTACATAGTATACGCGACAAAATATAGGCCTGCTTTTTATACATCTGTCTGTCAGTGGAGGTGATGACTTTATTTTGAAGTAGATTGTTGCATACATTTGCATGTAAATGGTTATATTTTGGAAGTTGGTGGAATACTATGTAAAATGTATCCTTTTTTTTAATTAACGTTTCATATTATGTGAATTAACAGATTTCTACAGTTACTGCAATTTCACCTTGAAACTCTTCCTCCAGGGCACCGATCTCTACCTCTGAGAAATCAACC